GGGGGTCGCCATATTCGTGGAAGCTCTTAAAAACCAAAAGGCCTAAGTCGAGCAGGCCTAGGCCCAAGGCTAGCTGACGTGATTTTTTTAGGCTAGGCCCAGGTAGGCCTAGGCCAGATTTGAGGAATGCAACAAAACAGTGAAGATGAGACTTACTGTAGGCCTAATTAAATTCAATAGTTGACATGCTTTGTTTTAGATTAAAAAATAATAATGAACAAATCCCGGCGACAAAGCGTCGATCCGACTGTACCCAGCCGCATTGTTTGCACTCATTTATTTATTTTTTGTCCATTTACACATTATATATCAATTATAAATAAAAGTGAAAAACTTAAAATACAAAATGAAAACAAAGTAAAGAAATAAAACATAAATCAGGTTTCGCAAATTTTTAATAATCTTCCTACCCTGGATAATGCTCTCATAATAAAACACTTGAATGGTCACGATTTCAACTTTAACCTTTGAATGTGTATAGCAACCGTGTCATGCCGGCCCACGGCGTTCGCTATGACTCAACTGGGCCTAGGCTGTTCAGTTAGCGATGAATAGCAGGGCAGTGCAGTATTTTGTTACAATTAACGTAACCATGGAAACATTTATTATATTCTTCTTGTCTTTATCTATCGATTTAGCTTGTCTATTGTGTTTAGGTAAACTAATTATTTTGTTACAATTTGTAAACTGTAGAAATAATAGTAGTGGTCGGGAGCCTGTAAATCCTGGTCGGAAATGTCGAGTGCTAGACGGGCCCGTCCACCGCCGACTAGCATGGTGACATCCCTGCATATTTATAATTATTAGAAAAAATAAACATGAGAAATTCACAAAAAAAAAAATTTAAATGTTGATGTCTGTTTACCAGTCTAATCATGTTTGTGATACGTAATAAGTTAAATAAAATCTGCTGTGGTTTATGAATATTTGAATTAGGTTAATATATTCATCAAGATACATGCATTCTTACAAAAACTGCCGTCTCTAATGTATAAAAAAATCTTGTTAATTACATATGTACAGTAACCTTTAAAACCAGTGCAAGTTTAAACAAAAACTTAACTTGCATCATCTAAGTGCAGCTACCACTACGCAGGACTGGATTAGGCAGTTTGGTGAAGCTTGCATCATCTAAGTGCAGCTACCACTACGCAGGACTGGATTAGGCAGTTTGGTGAAGCTTGCATCATCTAAGTGCAGCTACCACTACGCAGGACTGGATTAGGCAGTTTGGTGAAGCTGGTATTTGTTAAGTGCAGCTACCACTACGCAGGACTGGATTAGGCAGTTTGGTGAAGCTTGCATCATCTAAGTGCAGCTACCACTACGCAGGACTGGATTAGGCAGTTTGGTGAAGCTTGCATCATCTAAGTGCAGCTACCACTACGCAGGACTGGATTAGGCAGTTTGGTGAAGCTTGCATCATCTAAGTGCAGCTACCACTACGCAGGACTGGATTAGGCAGTTTGGTGAAGCTTGCATCATCTAAGTGCAGCTACCACTACGCAGGACTGGATTAGGCAGTTTGGTGAAGCTTGCATCATCTAAGTGCAGCTACCACTACGCAGGACTGGATTAGGCAGTTTGGTGAAGCTTGCATCATCTAAGTGCAGCTACCACTACGCAGGACTGGATTAGGCAGTTTGGTGAAGCTTGCATCATCTAAGTGCAGCTACCACTACGCAGGACTGGATTAGGCAGTTTGGTGAAGCTTGCATCATCTAAGTGCAGCTACCACTATGCAGGACTGGATTAGGCAGTTTGGTGAAGCTGGTATTTGTGTCTACTTGTATTTTTTTTGTGTCTACTTGTATTTTTTGAAGCTTGTATTTGTGTCTACTGCCCACTTTTCGGGGTAGTACACTTTGCTATCAACAGTCTTGTAAGTGAGTAAATGCAGTCTGATGGGATACCATTAATGTGCTTCATAAGCTAAAGATAAAAATGAAGAGTCTTCCAAAATTCAGCCTACGAAATATGATACGACACCTAGACCTGTCCTAGAAACAACTAAAAACTCAACAATACTTGCTTGTACAGTTCTTCATGTGAATTACCAACTTAAGTTTAATGTATTAATAATACTGCCCACTTACTCTATTATTAACCCATACTCTAATTGCAACCCACCCTGAAAACCAAATGAACGAATAGTGACCAAGAGTTTCAATCAGAAAAAATTACAATAATCAAGTCCCCACATAGGAAGTAGCTTTGACAGTACCTGTAGTATGAGAGAAGTCCATTTGATAAGCTAAACCATCTTCGTTGGTATCCCTTTAAATAGTTGGTCCACTTGTACAGCCATCCAGTAAACAAATCACCACCAGATACACTGCTTTTGTCAGACATCTTCAATATTTAGTCTTGCCTATCAATGATAAATTTGGAAACTAATAACAAAATAATAATAAACATAAACTCGCAATATAAATTCTGATGGGATAGAAGGAAGTACTCATGAACCACTTCTACCATCGAAAACAGGAAACCATAGACACAAAATGAAATGATGATGATTAATAGGCTTTGATTTAGATGAATTTATGAATTTTAATTTAGTATCTTAATATTGCTGGTACTAAATTTAATTACATTACAAATTTACCATTATATCGTTAATTAAAAAATATAATTGCTCTATAACATTTATAACCAATCTAAAGTATAATATGAAGTAAACATAAAATAGACTTTAGATGAAATTCCTACCTAAAACATAAATACCTATATGGTGCATGTAGGTATCATACTAATTAGAGGTTGTGGAATATATAGAGGGCGACAAACACAATTGTCTCTGTGTGTTAGCTTGATATAAAATTCATAATTCATGGAAACAAGAAAGTTTTATTAAACCAAGTTACGTTTTTCCCTACCAGTTATTTTTGTATTAAGGTTGATTTTCATTAGTAGTTGATAAGCACTGCCTTACTTAATTACTGTGCTTGTCAATGCATACTATAAACAGTGTATATTATTATTAAGAACAAACTATTGTATATAAGAATCAATAGTGGTAATACAATTTGCATTTTATATTCTACATCTAAAAATATCAAGATTCTTAATGAAGGTACTGTATACTAATAAAATAAAGACCACTGCCATGAATACAATTTAAAAAAATCCAATACCGACATTAGAGAGCACATACTGTACAATCAGGCCATAGATAATAGATACAGTATGCAGTTACTATAGCATCAGAGAGGAGAACAATCAATACCATTAAAAGGAAGGAGAATAATGTTGAACGCAACTAACACAGACAACAATATGGTGCCACATGATGGGATGATAAACAAGAAAAAAAAAAAGCACTAGCATTTGTAGAAGTATCTTCAATTAAAAGCTGACACATAACCATCAGCCAAAAGATACTGCATGCAGATATTGGCAATGAAGAGTCTAATGGGCATCATTAAAAGCAGAAGAATAATGTCAAATGCAGTTTGATAATGCAAACAACTATATTGTCACATGATGGGATGATAAAATATTAAAACCCATTCTTTAGTATATCTTCAATAAACTAAGTTATACCCATCAGCCAAAATATACTATATGCAAATACTAGCATTAGTGAAGTGTCCAATCAACATCATTAAAAGCAGAAGAATATTATCAAAGGCAGTTTAGAAAATGCAGTCAACAAAATGTGGCAAAGACAAGACATACCAGTCACTCCTCGCAAAAAAATTATTATTAATTATTAAAATTGGGTTACATACAAAAATGAAAGTTACAAAATGGTCAAAGAATCATTTAAATCCGACATTTCATTATGAAGTTACAGAAAATGAAACATACATCAACAGTATTGGAGAAATCAGCCTTTAAAGAAGATTTTGGACATTTCTGATGCAGTGACCATCACCAAATAGTTCAAAAATTTTGATTTAACATCGAAAATAGGGAAAATACCTGTAACAACTTTAGCATGATGTGAAAGTAGTAAGTGCCATCAAAATAGAATAGATTTTGAAAATGTTGACATTTCAACATGTTTTGGACATTATCTTTGCAACACAATTTGTGACGAGTGACTGGTTTGGCTGGTCTTTGCCACATATTGTATGGTATCACATAAAGGGATGATAAACTATTCCTTTGCATTGCAAAAGTGTCTTCAATAGCCTGAAGTACAGAATCATCAGCCTACATTATGCAGTTACTATAGCATCGGAGAATACGCCAATCAATACCATTACAGGTAGTAGCCTAGCAATCTATTGTAACTACCAGGCCTTAAAATATTTTTGTATAATTATTTCTAATTCAAAACTCAACAAATTCTGAGACCCTTTAATAATATGAAACTGCTTTTTCAAAGTATAGTACTAACAAATCTCTATTCAAGACCACTCCATATTTTGAGGTCCCAAAAAGGTGGTCTAAAATTTGGTTTGAGAGGCCCCTATCCACAAGGTGTGATTGGTACACACGGTACACCTCACTGCCTTCCCCCAGCCAAAAAAAAAGAAAAAATCAAGAATTTAAATTACTGAATACCAATATAAATTTGTTATTTTCTGTAATAAAGATTACATTATAACCAGCAATATAGCATTAGTCCATTATTTGGTAACTAAAGTTGCCATGGCAATGAAAACTCCGGGAGGTATTTGATTTCTTGCAGGAATGCCTGAGGGCGTCTCAATTTATGGGAGACTTCCTTGACTTGCAGGGGACAAGCCAAACCACTCGGTCAGTGTTGTTTACTGGTGTAATCAGGAGTTGTTATTTAGAAGGAGTCACAACAAAATAATCTCTTTTGATCAGTCTACTTTTCAGACAAGATAACAAAAGCAGAGAGGTAGATAACGACGAGGTTCAATTACCGAATATGAGCATGCGCAGTAAACCTTCTTATGCTTGTGTGTGACGAAAAAGCATGGCACACTAGAGAAGTGTCAGTTATCAACTACACGCTAGCGTCAAACCGATACAACAAATATGCCCCTATATCATTTCCCTGCTACGAAAACATGTTCAGTTTGAATTCAAATTACGTTTCTGTACGAAACTGTAAGAAAATGAGACATAAAGAAAATGTTAGTTAACAAGTTGCATAAACTATTTGTCCTAGTTATAAAATGGAGATACGTGCGAAAAAAATTAAATATAAGCTTTAAAACTTCCCAAAAACCCATGAAAATTACAAATGACGGTGTACGAACAAACACATATAGCTCCACTTCAAATAGTCGTAACTTTTTAACGAAAAGGCGAATTTTTATGCGTTTTTTTGTAAATTATTCTTCGTAAAACTCTCTTTTAATTTATTATTAAAATTATTGAACAGCGAAAATTGAATTAAAAAAAACTCTGCGCATGCTCAAGGCATGCTCTACTGGTCGTTTGTCACGAAATTATTTTCTCTACAAAGACAAAATTTTAACAACTGAGGGCGCAAGATCGTCGGAAAAGTACCCTATTGACAAAAGACAGGCAGTTAGTCACAGTTCTCTTTGAAGATTCGGTACACCGCGCTTCGCTCATTGGTTGTAGATAAGTAGATAAATGTGTTGTGACTCCTTCTAAATAACAACTCCCTGGTGTAATCATACAAAATATGATGTCAAATTTAAATTTCATCATTTATTTGGTCCAAATATCAGTGGCATATCCAGGGGTTTTTAAATGGGGGGGGGGGGGCTGATGTGAAGGTGAAGAGCTGCAATGATTAGGTGAGGAGGTGCTAACTCACAAAATAAAGTAATAAGAAGTGATCTTCAATTATCATGATTTTTTTGCATCGAACATTTACAATGAACAGAGGGAGATTTTTTGGGGATGACAATGAGGGTAGATACAGGTATGCCACTGCTAAATATGTGTAAGACTAAACAATCTATCAGCAGAAAAAGGCTATTAGGCCTAGAGCAAATAATTGAATTTGTAGAGGGCGAAAAACTACCAAATTGAATGTTCGATAAAAATAGCAAATTTGTACAAGTTGATGTTCGCAAAATTGGATCCTTTTTGCTGAAAATGGCATCCGCTCAATGTGGCATCCACTCGAACTAGCATTCGCTTGAATTGGTATCTCCACATATTGACTAGTTTCGGCCGAGCTGTACGTGGCTTGATGAAAGACAAACACTAGGGAATTCTGGAAGAATACCCGTTGCGTTTTATGAGGGGCCGCATACGGCTGGTGATAAAACAAACTTTATGTAAATTGCAGTATATTGTCATCTAATTTTTTATCGATAAAGAGAAGAGCGCTGCGTACGTCAGGGGATGTGTAAAACCCATGACATATTTCGGTTTCACTTTTGACATGTTTGAGTTCTATATTGTGTTTCTAGGCTAAGGCCTAGGTAGGCCTAGTTAGTTAGGCATGTAGGCCTAGGCCTCCTCCTCTTTGCCTTATATATCAAATTCTGAACTTCTAATACACTAGCCTAGGGCCTAGCCTGATTAAGACAAAGAAGTAGTAGGGCGGCCTAGGCCTACACAAGGCAGAAGCCTGTAATTTCCAGGTCCTTCGTAAAAGGTCAGAAGTAAGATGAGGGAAGCGCTTAGCCAGAACTAGGCCTAGGCTACACTAAGCTACTGTAGTGTAATGTCTGGGTGAGTAAGGAAGCTATATTTTTGTACCTCCACGGAGGAAGTGATCATGAACGAAATAAAATAAAAATCTCATTTCATAATGACAAATAGGTAACTGGGCTTACACAAATATTCAAACTGCAATTCATCAACTAGAAAGACCTTTTAGAAATACCAACACATGTTTGCAATACGAAAATCCACGAGATACAGTTATCAACAATCAATATGGTATGAGAAATTGCTAGGCTGGCCTATCCACAAACTAGTGCTACCTGCTACGTATGCGTTGCGTTCACACTACACTTTCCATACACGGGTCGCGGTGTCGGTCGGGTCAAAACCAAAGAACGGTACGTATTTTCCGGTGTACACTAGGCTAATATTACCAGACACTGGTAAATGTCGCGATTGCTATCTGTATTTGAGACTAACCACATTTCTGATACTATTGATGAAATAATCACTTTATTGTCCATTTTCAATACATGAAGAACGGAAATTCATATCTATGGAAATTGAGGGAATTTCGTTATTCAATGTTTTTTCTGCTGCCACTTTAGTATATATCCATTTTTGTATAATTATGACTCTACGTCTACATTTTCTGCCAATAGAAATACAGGTTTTGTCTTTATGAATTCTAACACTAAATATATACATGGCTTGATGAAAGACATAAACACTAGGTAATTATTTTAACTTTAAACAAAAGGTAATAACAATAATTATAATTGGAATGTTTATAGTAAATGTTATGAATTATTTTTATTGGTAATTGTGTTTTTCTTTGGTAGTTTACTTATTTGTCTTATTTATTTATTTATTTGTAGGCTCTTTTATCAATTTTTAGTATTATTATTTTATTATTGTCATGATCATTATTAGTCCAGTTTATCTGATAATTGAACTTTGATTCATGAATTATATACAGTATATGTACTGGTATTAAATATATCATATTGAAAACTTTACCCCTATTTTGAGCAAGCAAGTCAGGTAAATTTGACCTATATCGTATGCGTGAATGCATTCTCCACAGACCACACTAAATTTTGTATCTGCTATTGGCTTAAAGGATGTGATGTCATCCTACCAACTGAAAAACGATTTTTGAGTAGAAATCTTTGAAGAAAAAATAATCACCGGTCTCTTAAATAAAAGGTATGAGACTTACATGACAAGAAAGCTTAAATTATATGAGCTACACTTAACCATTTACCCCAAAGTTCAGTGAACGGTTGCCAAGTTATGAAGCAAAAGCAGTTAGTATACCAAAAAAATACACTAAATTTTAGCCTTTTTCCTAAACAAAGTAATATAAGGTTGTTAACTTTGAAAGAAAAATGATCACTCAATGTTGCATCAATTGACTGTAGTATAGATGATTATAAAGCTTAAAAGATTTAGTTTTATAATCTGATCACCCCAGATTGTCAAATGAAACCATTCAAATTATTGTAGATTATTTTGTGAGAAAAGGGGGTCTTATTTTGACTCATTTACTGTGTTAAGGTGTGCAGTGAACTATTCAGTGAACAGATGAGAGAAAGTTTTTATTGTGTTTCCTATGATCATCCCATAATTTTTTATATAAACTTTACTGTGATACAACTGCAAATGTTGATTTAAGTACTCGCACTTTATAAGCCTGAATGAACTAACAAATAAATAAGCATGGCATAAACCATACAGTAAGTAATGTTGTAGATCATAAACTTACTTCATACTTATTTATGATTCTTTAAAATTTCTGTTCAAACTTGTTAAATTTGATTTTTCAGAGTTTTGCTACTAGTTTTTGACAATGTATATCATATTATACCATTTTTATTATTTTGTTAACATTGTCATAATTTAATTATCGTTATCATCGTCACTCTCATAATTGGTATATATTATTATTGATTAACATGGATTTTTACATGATCCCACAGATCGAAACGCGGGCTTTATGAGACAGACCATTCTGGGTCTGGTTCGCGAAGTCTATTATACGCATGCGCTTTTACTGTCAGTTTTGACAATATGGACGTCGTGGTGCACAAGAATCTTCGCGCTAGCCAAAGAATGTAGGTCTATTCTGTCGAAAAGTATACTGTATATCAAAAGTCTGTAAGAGATAGCAGTGGTTGTCAACAGAATTGAATTGTTCCAGCAAAGTGCCACATGCGTTTGAATTGATGAAACTGGAACTCATCTTCTCCTTTAAGTAATTAAGGTAAATGCCATCTATCATCTTTCTTGCTTGCCTCATAATAAAAGGTTGACTAGGCTACACAGATATAAATAGGCCTCCTGGTGCAGCTAGCCTTGGTAGGCTATGTCTTCTCTCTTATTTATTGGCAGTTTACACGGTTGAACCAGCCCTGCCTAGGCAAGGCCAGGTCAGGCTGTAATAAGAAACAGTTAACTTGGCGACGAGATTAGAAGAAGTGTAGCCTATGCTTCAAATATCCGATTTGTGTATTAAAATACTTCTATACATTCTGTACCTTTACACCAAAACAACAGCATTCATTTGGGTGGCCTAGGCCTAGCCTACGAATTGATTTTTAATAGAAAGAACATGACTTCGAGTGTCGCTATTCCTTATCTTCTGACTCAACTGAACTAGGCCTAGCCTAGGCTAGGGAGCTCACATATAGATAGTCAGCAGTCTCATCTGCAATGGAGGGTAACCAAAAGTCTTACCTTGGTTGGATATATTCTGCTGTAGGCCTAGTCCTTTCATCATTGCTAGAGGTCCTGTATAATAATACATTACATCTTTACTGGTTTTTAAGATATTTTTCCTAGGACAGGTACTCTTGTGTAGCTTTAGGCTGTGTTTTATCAATTTGTTGTCAAAAATTCTGATTATAGGTCCCTACTACGTAAATAAAGGCTTAGGACCTTGACAAGCTAAGCTTATATAGGCCTATAACAATTCTACAAACAGGAACCACAGAACCTTTCATATGTGCAGGATTAATTAACAATGCTTTTGTAATGTTTGTACTGCCATATACCACTACTCACTGGTTTGTCTCACCTGATTCCTCTTACCAACACAGCTGTTTTCTTGTTCTTTTCAGTTCTGGTTTATTTTGTATTAACAACAATATAAATTATCTATTTAATTTGGCTTTGTGATATGGAAAAGCAAAGGTGTGCACTTTTTTTTAACTTGCAGGAAAGAAGAAGCTATTTTCTTTATGATAATATTCTCATATTTTCTTAAGGAAATAATTTGAAAATAATGTAGATTTTAATTAAATACATGAATAATTTTAAAAATTATATATGAAATTTTATAATAAATTGAATTGAATTGAAAAGTATTGCAAACCAAATAGTCCGCTAATGGTGTCCTAAGTACTAAAAGTTTTAATAAAAATAAATATCGATTTATCTTGATATCTTTCCTACTCTATATTGTGGCGCTTATTATTTGCAGTCATAGATGAAAGTGAAAAATACATGCTACATTACAGTCAGCTGAGTGACAGGCTAGAATCCTCAGAATGTTGACATTTCACAAAGAAAAGAATATAAATGTATGCCAACATGTTATGCTGATGTACTAATAATTAATATTGACTATTTTAAGTACTGTACGTAACTTAGAGATTATAGGCCTAAGTAACACCCACAACCAAGGAAGTATTTACAATAATAACTTAGTGTAGTATTAGTAACACAATAGTGATTCAAATGATCACATTTTTCCAACAGAAGTAGGTAAAATCAAAGCATCTACAACTGCAGGCCATACATTTTTATACATTGTTTACGAGCATTATATTTTAAGGATCTTTAGAGAAGAGAGGAAAAAGTGAATTTTTTGTTTTAATTTACTAAAATTGTTCTTCCAAAAAGCATCTAGATAGTGAAGAAAATAAAAACATTTTGTTGACGAATATGTGCTAGGTCAAAATAAATAAATAAATAAAGCAATAGAGGGTATTCTTAGGGGCCCCCTTTTTTTTGTTGAAAATCACCCAAAAAAAGGCTAATGAAGCCACTCAAGGTAAGGTGTTACTTATCTGAAAGAAACCAGTTCACAAGAGATTAAAATTGAGAAAGTTGATAAACAGAAGGGAAACAGTATGAAGGCAAAGAGAAATAGAACGACAGCTAAACACATGCGAAAAGGCAACAGTCTTTGCTTCTGAAAGTACTACCGGTAGGCCCTTGCTGGAGATTGCGACGACCTTATTTTGGGTCCTGAACCACACATTGTGAGGATCATGGTTTTAGATCAAATATAATCTATACAAAACTTTGCTTTATTAATTATAATTAAATTATCCATTAAATAAAATTGTCATGACATTTTTTTTTTAATTAACGATTATTTTTTTTAGTTAACAATCATTATAATTGTTATAATATTATTATTTATAAATTTAATAGATTATGATTTGTTTTAAATAGTTTTTGTACATTATTAAGCCTGTATTAAAAAAAAAAGTCAAGGTTTTTATTTATTTTCATGAATTAAATTCTGATAAACTCATTACTTTGGTAACAAGTTTTGTTCCAAATCAGAGTAGCAAGCCAGATTCTGTACAGCTTGCTTATTACAGTACAACAGCAATCTACAGGAAGTTTCTGTTTTCAGCAGTTTGACCTTAGAGCAATTGTATTTTAAAGTGATTGGCTTATTAGATTGTACTAGAGTACTCTGTACATTGAATATTCATTCAGCTTATACATCCTATCATCTCTTGAAACTGGCATCAAGCCTATAGTTTTATTTTTATCATATACTTAGTCATGCTTCTAATTTTTAATAGTACTAACTTTAAAGTGTACATTAAACAGTGTAATTTTTTGTTGGTCTCATTTCATGAAATTATTCATGTATGTGTGTGTGAAGTTACTGATATAAAGAACTAGTATTGTCTGAAAGCTTCAGTTTCTCTCTGACTGTTTATGTTGCATTTAAATTGTATCTTTTGTTACAACTGTTAATCATTATTTTGTACAGCGTTGATTTTTGGTATTTTACTCTTCGATCAGTATTAAATGATTACCGTATACATTTCTTTGGGGCAAAGGTTTCTCTTTCAAAATTGTTGGACATGGTTCACTTTGTATAGGATTCTCTCTCATACTAAATTAAGCAACTATCTCCCATCATTATTGGAATTTATTGAATAATATGCATACTGGTACAGTAATTTGTTTATTGAAAACACTTGCTGTAGGTTTCAATGTAGAGCGGTTTAATCTTTTTTTTGTAAAGGCACTATATAAATGCTTTTTGATAATAATAATAATATTTAATAATAATAAATATTAGTGAAATAAGAAAGAAAGTTAAAATATAAAATGTTCTTGCTCTCGTATGAAATGAGAAGTTATAGCACATGTGTCTTTTATCCTAGTTCATTGTGTCCATGCAAAAATATTGTACAATCAACCATCTTATTTGAAAGATAATTACAGTACATTGTAGATCACTTTCCTAATGTAGTTGCAGCCCTCTCGCCAGAATTTTTTTAAAGAGTGGCAGAATTTCAGAAAATGTTGTCCAAAAAATGTAAATGGTGGTGAGAAAAATGTTAAAGGATGGATATATTTTTGGTACTACTTATGGTGTCGGACACGACGCGGCTCAGCCTGTGTCCCAAAATTTAAATTTATTTACCCGATTCATTTAATTTAATTTATTAATTCAAACTATATGTACACTTAAATATTTGAACACCTTCTCCACTTCCCCCTCCCCCCCCCCACTCTTTCCGGGGGGAAAAAACCCTTTCATCTTGGTTCAATCTCCAGTAGGTCGAGGGCGTCTAGTCTGGAGCTATAAAATTGAGGTTATAGTTTTGTAATCATGGTCGAGTGCATGTTTCCTGTTGTGTTAAATAGTACAGAAATTATAATACTTTGAAGTGGTAATTATTAGTTGTGAAAATATAGTTTTTAAAATAATTACAGTTACTAAAATTCTGTTGTATTCTGACTGCCGTCCATCACGTAGTACAATCTTTGCTTATTTTTATAGCTAGCAAGACTCCTGTAGTTTTTTAGACACCATATCTTTTAGACACTTTCGTATCACCTCTATACTTCTTGTAAGAGTAAATCCTGTTGGAGGAATGATGGAATACCCATCATTGCATCATTCATAAGCTAAACATCGGAATGAATAGTACTACTGTATTTCGGCAGGTTGAAGAGTCGAGTAGCTGGCTGGCTGCCTCTATTTTAGTAAGCCTATGAAATACAAACTAATATGTGATTAGGTCTACTGCCACCGAATTGTAAGTTAAAAGTAGCCAAAAAACCTATATCAAGCTGTAGACACGCTCTCGCTGGGAGAATTTTTTTTCTCTCCATAGACACATGAATATCTGTGTAGGGAGAATCATCCATTTTGCTGCATTCCTCTGCTTCTGTTTTGATCAGCATGTTTAATCACTCTTGTGTTTCATTATAGTTGATATAGAAATTTGTGACTTTAATGTTAAAGAGTGTATAGGAAGAAGGTTTTTATGTACAGTATTGCAGTACACATTTTCTTGTTTTTAAAGTACAGTATAAATAAATATTGGTACTTTTCATAATTGGGTTTTTGTGATTTTATTTTAATTTTGTATAAAGACCCCATGTAGGTTGAATGACCTAATCAGTACTCACTGTAGTTGATTGTTTACCCTTAGTTGAACTCTTTAATAAAATCGTATATCAATGTTGACATCGAATATAGATTTTTGTGCAGTGTCAGCATTTTATATGCTTCAGGTGATATTAAAAACCAACCACAATTATATAATTATTACTGTACCTTGGAATAGTAGAAGAAAATAGATTTGCTTTGGATAAAAATGTTTTGGAATGAAATTTGGTGCAAATATTAAAGATAGAGAAAAGTATTGGTATTTGATTTGATTGGTTGTTGATATTGATTTTTAAATTTTGTTGGCCTTGTGCAGATGGGTAGACATGCACATTATTATTAATATTATTAATTATTATCATTAGATTATATACACTCTATGTTTTTCTAATAAAAAACCTGAATAATATAATTTAACATTTAATTGTTATGTATTACTTTATATTAGCATGGTAATTGTTAATTAGGACAACTATATTTTGTCAGATAGTAATTAGTATATTGTATATTAAACTTAATATTCTGTTTTTTGGTTTATTTAATTGATTTTGATATTCCTTTTAAACTTATTGTGTTCATATACTATAATTCATATTTTGTAGAAAATGCAGACATTAACAGTAGACCCTCAATTTTTTTTTTTAAATATCAGTCACGTTTCCTAGTGTTTTCAGACATGGAGCTATTCTTAGGTGTTTATTCAGTCCCATCAAGGCTGTGAATTCCCATCAAAAAGTCACATGGTTATAATTATGATTGAGCATGCTCAGTTGATTTGATGCTTTAAAATGTGCTGTCTCTTCCTTGTGAATGTAGTTGAATGTGCTCATAGTCATTTGTTTGGAATTCACTCCCTGCTATTAATACATATTACACTCACATTAAAAATTCTAATTATAAGATTGGTGATGTCTCTCACCATGGAGGTATAAAAGCTCTCACTAGCATACATTACTTGTACATTACATTATTTGTCAGTGCAGTATAGTATGAAAAGATACAATGCAATGTTCAACTTCTGTTTCTTTGCAGCTACTGTAGATTAGTTGTTTTGTCTCTATGTATGTGCAGTAGGTTGGGAGGTATGATGATATGTACTGTATGCATAATTATTGAATTTTTTCTTATAGATTAAAGTTGAAGTACATGGTGACATTCAATTAGATGATTTTGGCCATCACACTATGGTTAGGTTCACACTAGAGCCCTAGTATCTGGATCTGGAGCTAACTGTTAACGCTAACCGTTAGCACCCATGTGAGGACGACCGATCGGTTAGCATTAACCGTTACCAGGACCTGGATACGCTAACGATTAGCGAGTGCTATCGATTGGCAGGTTGAGCGTGTCCTACCATCAACCAATCACACATACGCATTTCCAGTTTCTGGTTTCCTATTGGTCAGTGATCCCACTGTCATCTTCTTGATATCTGGGCCCGGGATTTTCTTATATGAACAGTGTGTTTTCTCTTGCACTAGTGGGAGTGGAGTTGAATAGCTTAGTGGAAGATGCTTGCCTTCTAATTCGAGAGTCTTGGGTTCAATTCCTGTGACAGCAGGACTTTTTCTCACGACTAAAACAACTAAACTTCCTAAGCCTCATATACACTGTATATACGTTGATGATAAAAGCATCATATTATTTCCATAATTTAAGACTATACAGGACCTTGAATATCAGCTGACCTTCAAGGATAGGCCTATGCTGAAAGTGTCCCCCTCTATAAATATATGTCTTTTTTATTATTATTCAGTCACTAGAAATACTGTATGTAGAAAGTTTGCAAAGCTGCTATGTTCGTTTAATGTTGAACAATGCATAACGTTAGCATAGGTCCATCCAATGAGATGCAGATGGAAACAAAGCAGTGCTCTATATGAACAAGAACATTACTCATTGCTATCTCATTGTTTGCATTTATGAACAAAGCATTCCTATTTGTAGGAGTGATAACAGTATGTATGTTTATGGAAGAGAAGTGCATAGAATTTGAAATAATACCGTAGTTATTAAAATAATTTAACAAGTACGGTAATGGGATGATCAGAATTTCTTAAGTCTTGGGCGTACATTCTGGAGGATTCTCAGTAGGCTACTCACTTTTTTAAAGAGAGACATTGAGGTGAACTCTAAATAATTAGCCTTTTATAAGGAATAACAGTAATTGCAGTGTCTAAAGCCCTGTTCAGACTATCACATTTGAATTGACAAAAACATGTGACATGCCTAAATATGGTCATGATGACATCACATCATGACCATATATAGGCATATCATGACTATATATGGGTATACAACAGTTTTTTGTTTAAGAAAATTTGATAGTGTGGACAGCTTTACTGTCTAGGCTATCAAATTTTATTTGACAAGTGACATGCCTATATATAGTCATGATGATATCACATCATGATCATATATAGGTACATCATGACTATATATGAGCATATAACAATTTTTTTTTTCTTGTCAAGTAAAGTTTGATAATCTGGATAGTGCCTAAAACAACTTATGGTCTGATCAAACATTGTTGTATACTGACCATCTTATATCCAGCTTAAATCTGTTGCCAATTAACATTATTTTCACAAAGTACATCTGTCCCTGGAAGATGTAGTGTCAGAATTTGATATGCCTTTTAATCGGCGAGTCGAATGGCTAAGCGGCGTCGTAACATAAGCTGGTTTGAACGGCATACTCGCCTATGGTTCTGGTGGTCGAACAAAGTCTTGTTGTGGTGTAATTCATAAGTTTATTTCTCAGATATTAATTGTTTTGTAGCATCTCCACCTTTCACAATAAACATCCTTTTGAGGAATTGTTTATAAAAATTAATAAAAAGAAACTAGCAAGTAATAACACAACCATACCACTTTAATAACTTGCCAAAGCAGTTGCCAGTTACAATATTGATACTGTATGACCCTAAAGGATGCATATATTGTAAAACAGGGTTGAGATTATCCTGGGAAGAAATTAAAGTCAGAAAACATCCCTACAAGATAGTATAGTAATAGTGTAGTTTTATATAGCGCACATATCCACCTTAGGCCATAATTGATTCTATGTTTACGTTGGACTATATTCATTCTTGACAATGTTCTAATAAGGAACAAAACCTGGAATCAATTATGGCCTCTCATGTTTGTCATTCTTTGGAGTCACCATACTCATATTCTTTTTACGAATAATCATTGAATGCATTTAAATTGAATAATCATTGGATCCTCTGGTTTTTGGGTGTACTGAATATATTGCTGACATTATAATTAAATATTATTGATTCTTGAAAAGAATTGGGCATTTTATTCTCAATTTTATTGCTCAATTATCAACATGATAATATTTATCTTTCAGATGACTGCTGTACAATATGACCTGGACACATCTGGTGGATTAATGGAGGTAATTTCCATTCCTTTCTTCTTCTTTCCTTTCTTACCTACCTGCTCTTCGGATTAAAATGCACTCAAAACAAGATCTAAAAAAATTCATTCTCAGTGCCCTGCTTTACTTAGTTTGTGCTTATGCATTTACAACAATGTTCAATTACACATACGAAAATGCTTCTACTATGCCTTTGCAGCTCTAGGGAAACTGTTCTGCTGTAGATCTTTTCTTAGGCAATGAAAATTAATTCATTGTTACGTCAGTCAATAAGGATAAATAGTAAAGGTTATAAGCATAACCATTGATTTTTCTCTGGTCTTAATTTATTATAAATCATTTTGAAGTGAATTACCTTAGACAATGTTTAGATAGAGACAAAGGTATTTAAAATTTATACTTTTTTTTAAAATTCATTGTCATTAATATCTCTTAAAAAATAATAAAATTAATGATAAATGTGAGAGTTAAAAAAATAAAAACAGTCAAATCCAAATTAAGGGAAATAAGCATACAGTCTATTTATCATTTTAGCAAATCCAAGCATTAATTGCACCACCAGTATGTGAAGAGCCACCGAGGAAACATAGGAGAACTGATAGGGAACGTCGACGTACAGGACGTGCAACAAATCGTGACACATGTGATAGCTGCCGTGAGGGTGGAGACCTACTGTGTTGTGACAGATGTCCAGCAGCTTTTCATTTAACTTGCTGGTAATTCAAAAAATAATATTGATATATTGTTTTTTACACTATGGTTAGCTGATATTCAGGGGCCCTCTTAAATAAATGAAGTAATGTGATGCTTTATCAGCGTCACATTACCTCCAGGATTTGAACCCAGGACCTTGGGATTGGAAGGCAAGCAAGTATACAATATCATTAATCACAACCAGATAAAATCTTATTTGCTATTCCAGCTATTAGTAACTGATATCTACATTTAATTTCAAAGAAAAATTTTGATACAATTTTGTATCAGAAACTCAATTTTTTAGCTTTTTGTCCTGTATTTGAAATAAGATTGTTTTCCGGTCCTAATAAACGTGAGTATTGTATATATATTCTTGGGAGAAAAACATTTAAAATAAAGAATTTTACTTCCCATGTGAATATTGATCTGCATGTTGTATAAGTGATTTTATTAACCATTCAATAATAAGTGATACTTTTTTATTCTCTAGCAATCCACCTTTAGAAGAAGACAAGCTTCCGCATGGTGAATGGCTTTGTCATCAATGCACAGTTACCCCAAAGGTCAGTTACCTAATATACCCATGACCTCCGACCTCCTTTTACTTTTGAATCTCATGGACTTTCTGTAACTAATTTAGTAAATATTAATTTTTAAATTTAAGATTTATTAGTGTGGTATACCATAATATTGTTTTAAATTGAAACGCATGTTTGGTACTGAACATACCAGGTAGTATCGTTATTTTCATCCTAGATGCATATTGCTAGTGTTTCTTTGTGTACCATGTATTATTTCATAATATTTGTAATGCTTATTTCGGTTTGCTGAGCTCGGAAGTAACTGGCATTTGAAGATGATTCATTCACTTAATGGTTTTGCTTAGATGTATATTGCTAGTGTTCGACTAGACAAATAACGTATTTTGATTTCCTTCTGTATCAACTATCATATGTATATCTGAAACTGAATAATTAGCAAAAGAATGTGGTAGTATTGTATACTGTAGTAATGCTTTTACTAGTAACTCTGGCAATAGTAAATCTATTCCAGTAAATGAAGCTTCATTTTAAAGCTTATAGTGTGGAGAATGTGAATAAAATGAAAAGTCAATTTTCGTGTTTTGGTCGCTGTTACTGGTTTTGGGAAGGTATGCCCTCATATATTATCTCATATTATTAGGAAAGCTTTTCTAATCCCTCTCCAGACACTCAAATTGTGTTTGACAAAGAAATGTGACTTGTCTAAATATGGTCATGATGATTGATGAAATCACATTATGACCATATATAGGCACATCATCACTATATATGGGCATGCAACAATTTTTTATTAAAGAAAATTTGATAAGTGTGGACAGAGTTTTAGCTCTGAAGTTGCTTATGAGGATGATTCACTTATTGACATCTTGATGTATATCATCATGTGTAAAAAAAAAGACAACGTACAATTGGCAGATGCCACAAGGATTGAAATGTCTACGTTGACAGTATTTATTATAAAAAATGTTGATGCTGTCTATGTTGGCCTGCTTTTAAGTAGCATTTTCCACAAAAAAAAAATTCTCAAAGCATTTCAGTTTTATTACCTTTGTGCAACCTTCAAACATGGCAGACTATTCTTAGTCATTCATTAAGATTTTGCATAAACCACATACGCTTAAACATTTAAAATATTCCTGTCCAACCCATATTTTTATGCATGTGTGAAGGGAGACATAAAATAATGTGTTGTTTCTAGGTACTGCATTTAATAATTTAATAAGACGAGGCCACCTATATAATAGACTAGTTAATGTATATACTAAATATAATGGGTTAGGTATGATAGATATCTGACCATAGACTTTTGCTTTCATTATCTCTTAACTAAATTAAAATACTTATACCTTTTAACAAAAACTGTGAATAGATTATAATGAATCAAATTAAGTACTTAATATAATGTATTCGTATCTTATTGTCTTTTCAGGAGGGTGATGATTCCTCATCAAACACATCAAAATCAGACAAAATTAAAGTTTTAGTGCCAGAGATAGGCAAACCTGTTGTGAAAATAGTACCTATGAGGCTTAATGATAGACTAATGGCCCAAGGCAAATCTTGTTTAAGATTGGTCCAGCTACAGGCCTATGAAGAAGCAAAAAAGGAGAAGGAGGGCTTTGAGAGGCAGCTGTCAGGCGAGTCTCTTGCCATTAACGACACAGAAAAAGTGGAAAGTCAGCTGCCTGAGGACTTTGTGAATCCTTTTGATATGCTTGTTAAAGCAGCGGCTGTTCAGAACCCCAAACAGTTCTCAGTCCCTCCAGAATTTATGACAAATGCACCTTTACCAGGTAATCACTGATTATATAGTTGTTATATAATTGTCATCATTGTTGTTTAATTTATTCTTTTATGACATATGCACCTTTGCCAGGTGATCACTGATTATATAGTTGTTATATATTATAACACCCTGCTAACTGCTCGGCCATTTGACTTGCCCAAGTTTCATTACAAAAGTTTCAAATACTTGCTAAAATACATCATTTTTTCCGTTCGAGCTCCATTTTCCGCTAACTCCATAGCCATGTGACGTTTTCTTTCGTGTTGTTGTACAAGTAGTCTAATTTCAAACGTCATTGCGTGCTTTGCAATGTGTTATTTGTTATTTAACGCTGTGGATGCAGGGCAGTGGCTGTATGACGACGACTAAATGAAAGCACTATATTCACCACAGCCGGTCAGCTGGTAGTGTACCCGTTGGATGCAAACTGACGACAACCAAGGATTAAGAGTAGACCTAAAGGCTGCCGACCGTCGTGTACATATATCGACTTCCTGATTTGGGTTTTTCCAACAGCGCATGTTCAGGGCTATCTAGGCCTATGCGATAGTGGTAGAAATATTGTTAATTATTTAGTCAATGATTTCGTGTTCTTATCTGATACAAAAAATACATTTAAATAATATGTGTAATATTTTAAGAATGGGTCGCTTTTACGGTGTACGTACTGTAGAGCCGAGTGACGGCAGTAGGATTCCTAAGACAAAGGCTAGGCCTAGCCTAAGTAAGTAAATCGCGGTATCTCCCAAGGCTAGGCCTAGGCTGCCCTAACCTAGGATAGGCCTACCTAGATGAGGGCCAGATCGTAAGTCCTTGATTATTGCATTGACAGACGATCGAAACCATTTCCAGACAATCGGAACCAAGCTAATTTTGAATAATCCTTGCTGGGAATTTATGTCCTGATACATAATTTATTGTTCATTCTCTTGCACAGTTTAACAACAGACAGTAACTGTAGGCCTAGTGCTAAAATTACTGAAATGGCCGTTTGACCAAATTTTGTCGCTAAAAAACAGCTCTCCTCAATTTCTTGAGGAGAGCTGTTAGTAGCTCTCCTGCTTTTTCTTTAAATCAAGGTCTGTTATATAGTAGTGATAATTGTCATCGTTGCTGTTGAATTTATTCTTTTACTTCTTACAGTTAATTTATGACAACCAAGTCACTTAATGGTTTTGCTTAGATGTATATTGCTAGTGTTCGACTAGACAAATAACATATTTTGATTTCCTTCTGTATCAACTATCATATGTATATCTGAAACTGAATAATTAGCAAAAGAATGTGGTAGTATTGTATACTGTAGTAATGCTTTTACTAGTAACTCTGGCAATAGTAAGTCTATATCTATCATACCTAACAACATTGTTAAAGGGGGACCTGTCATCGTTGCTGTTGAATTTATTCTTTTACTTCTTACAGTTAACTTATGACAACCAAGTTAATTTATTCTTGATTCTTGATATAGCACATTATGCTAAAGCCTTAATGCGCTTAACAAAAAATTAAGCAGGAAATTTAAGAAAAAAGATAAGATTAATAATTAATAATATTATCAGTACTTCTGCTAACAAGTCATAGAGAGTTCATATTGTCTCATTAAAATAACATTCTTCACTATTATATATAATTTATATTGCTTTCCATTTGAAAATCACAAACAAGAGAAAAGTAAGAAATAAAATTTTTTTTAAAAATTCAAAAACCAGATACATGAAAAATCCAGGGGCAGATTGGGAGGGGGAGGCTTTTGGAAAGTAGAAAAAAAAGAGAAAAAAAATAAAGAAAAGAAAAGGATAAAAATGATCACCCAAATTGCCTCAGAGGTTATTTTCGAGTGTCTAGAAAACAAAAATTTTGTGGGGGCTTGCCCCGGACCCCCTAGTGTGGTGTTATCTCGATCGGCTCCACTTTCGTCACCCCTTCTGGACATCTCCCAATCCGCCCCTGAAATCTACTCCTTCATCCCAAATATAATTAATCATGCAATGCAGAAGATAGCCCTTTACATCTTCTATTACATTTTATTTAGGTTCCAGTTGTAAAAAACGTAGAGAAGATGCAGTGAAGAAGAAACCATATGAACTTGAAAATGGAATGGTTCCCCTTCCTGCGAGAGTATGTTTCAGGTGTAAAAAGTAAGTTTCTCAAAGTCATATATATGTATTTATATATTTTGGTTTTATTTTAGATTATTTAGGACAGTGGAGGTACCAAAAGAATTTTTGAATGCATTAGAAAAATATAATCTTATGTCATTATATTTATGTAACAATAAATTATAGCAATTATGTATAATGCTTTTACCATTTTTTTTATTATACCTGATGAAGTCCCATCAATTAAGACAAACATTTGTGAATGAAAATATTACTGTTAGCTATAATAGTTTACATGTATTTACTGACTAAATTTATTTGGTTGACTATAATTCACCATTTTTATTAAAAAATGTTCGATAAAATGTTATGCAATGAAAAAAATTAAGATACTTGTGAAGATGGGAAGGAAAATTAGTTTATTGGTATTTCATCAGGTCTGAAATATGTTATTTGTATTAACATTTTATATGAAGCAATATAAGTAAAAGTTAAAGTGCTTTATTTGAATAAGTGATGTTGCTAATAATATTAATTTTATGCAAATGTAGTATTACTATAATATTTGGGAACTTAATACTTATTGTATTTTTAATTTTATTCCTTTTATTTCAGGTGCAAAATTACAGATTAACTTCATTATGATTATTTTTCCTGCCAGTAGCTTTTTATACCTCACTATATTAATTTTTTATATTTAAAAAATTTGTAATACAGTATTCTCTTTATTCTTTTAAAAATTGATATAATCCAATACCATATGTGCATTGTAGGAGTTGCAGAATAGCTCCACTAATTCAGTGTGACTACTGCCCTCTGTTGTTTCATCAAGACTGTCTGGATCCCCCTTTAACAATGATGCCAACAGGACGATGGATGTGTCCAAATCACCCTGAGAATTTTGTGGTAATTTAAAGTTATTTTCAATGTATATCTAATTTTGAATAAAAATATAGTTTTCTACCATTTAAATTGATTAGCAGTAAAAATAGTTTACTACTCAATTTGCTGATTTAATTTCATTTTATCTTTAGTATTACTTTTGAATTCTATTAACTGTTAATTTGGTCTAATTTCTGTAAAAATAGGATGAATTGGCAAAAGGGAATTCACAATAATATGTATACACACTACAAATATATGAGGCTTGCCATCCCAAAACCAGCGTACTGTCGCTAATGGTTAAACTGAGTAATTAGCAAAAGAATGTGCCAGTATTTGTATACTTTAGTTCAGTGAAGCCGTAATAGTATAATAATAATTCAGGATTTAATAGCGCCTCACATTGTCACAACCTCGGATGCTTAACAACAAAGAGAAGAAAATAAACCATAAACAAATGTACCAAAAATTATTATCAAATATTTTGGGTTTTAGTTTAGTTTATTTAAGTTCAAAATTATTGGTTTGATGATAATCAATAAAAATTATTATTACAATAGGTAGGTTGTATAATAGGTAATTGTAATCATTTCAAGCCTGTTACTTTCCTATTCATCCCAAAGCCTTTCATTTTCTTTCCCTTTTGCTTCTTGTCTTTCATAATACTTTTACTCATAGCTTCTGCAATAATAAATTGATTCTAGTACTTGACCTGTCATTTTAAAGCTTAAATGTGGAGAAATGAACATATAAAAAAGTCAATTTTCTTGTTTTGGTCACAGATCCTGGTTCTGGCATGCAAGCCCCATATACATACAGTACATTTACACAAATTTACACTCATATTAATATTTATGAAATATATAAATTGTTTTGACTAATCACAACTGATTGATAGTTGTTTGTGTTTTTCTAGCCTGCTTACTTTGGACCAAGCTTTACTAAAAGGTGCAAGATTTACAACCAGTTTCATGGTCAAGTTCACCAAAATGCCATCAAGATACAATTCCTGAACAAAGTCCACAGCAGCTTCAAACCGAATAAACGCAACACAGTACCACGAAGGAAGGCAATGAAGGCAAGGCCGTTATTTTGTTGATTTATGTTATTTTATAATATGCAAATGAGGAGAGATAAAGCAAGTTAATAATGAATTAGAAACCTTACAATTTGATTTCTTTTTTTTTCACTCCCTGAAGTGTGTATTAGATTGTAATTTAGATGTCTACAATTGAACTTGCCTTAGTGGAATCCGAAATGCCACTGAAATATTGTTCGAATTTAGATAAAATTTGACTGACAGATTGTTAATGGAAAACACAATAATTTGGCATGTAAAATAAGATTGACTTAGAAATTATTCAACTTAGGCACAGTAGACTTATTCAAGTTTAACTGTATTCCTATTCCCTGTCACCAATCCAGTGTACTCATCTGTTCTGTTCAATTTTGTAATGAATTTATAAAGCTGTAGTTAGCTTTAACCTGGCAACCCTGCTAAAAATGTACACTTTACCTATGAAACAAATTCTACAAATGGAATGCACAAAATCCTGTTGACTAAACCCAGTAATGTTTCAATTACAATTGTGTGGGATTTTAGTTTTAACTATGCTAAAATATAATAATGTTGATATTGACATGCTGTCATTATCAAAGATTACGTCAGTCTGCGAATCACATAATACAGTGGCTCAATTAACTGATAATACAGTGTTTTTTAATTATTTATTTCTGTTTCTTTGGCATTCCATTACAAAGTAATTCATATCTCAAAAAGGAAGCCCATACTACACTGATTAGAAGCCCATTAGCTTTTCAAAATGGGCTTCTTTTCAAGATTACTTTTGCATACTGAAGAGCAGGCTTGTTTTTGAGATGGGCTTCTTGATATATATTGGTTGACTTTTTAAGAATTATGTGTTATTACCTGAATAGTTAATTAACTAAATAGTTTTTACTCACAGCATTAAATATTGCTTTTGATTGGTTAATAATGCATACTTTGAAATGTATGACTTTAATTGGTTATTATTATTATTGTTATTATTATTATTATTATTATTATTATTATTATTATTATTATTGTTGTTATTAATATTATTGTTGTTGTCTTTCAGGTTCCAGAGTCTGTGAAAGCACAGTATTCAAGTCCTCCACACCTGTTGCCTAGGCCTAATCAGGAACGGTTGCATCAGCCTACATCACCTGAAGAAAAGCCACACTATACGCCTGAAGAAGCAGAAGAAGTAAGTAATATGATAAACAAAGAGAGGGTTTATGCCGGGATTCACAAATACTTTCTGAAATAACATCAAAAATTGGATTGAAACATTTAATTGCTCATTTAAAGTGATCACTGAAGTCATCTCTTCTTATGAGAAACGGAAATCTAAAAAAAACCACCCTTGAAATTGTTGGAAATCCTCCCACAATTTATTGATACTGATTTTAATGACCCACTGTCCACCCCACTCTAAGAATGGTATAGTCTATTGTGGGTGGTTTTTTTACAGGGTGGTTTTGTCATAAACTCGTGAGAAACATTTCTGCCAATTTACAGACTCTACTACCAAAATCTTGCAATTTTGCCAATCATTTAAATGGTGTTATTTCAAAAAAGGAATAGTATCCTTTATGAGGAAAATACGTTCTCATTCTTATTTTAATTTGAAAGCTGCTAATAACTTAAATATACAAAATAAGCAATTAAAATAGCTAAACACAAAAATAATTTTGACTTTAGGTGGCCCTAACCTGAAAATAAGTTTACATTATACTACAAGATGATCGTATGTCATATTGTGAATGAAGCAATGCTTTAATTTTTTTCAATTGTTGTGGATTATGTAATAATTGATAATAATTAAGCAGTACTAAACCTGTACCACAGAATTTATAATTTGAATAATTAATAAAAATGAGTTTTAATTGATAATAAACAAGACAATATATATTATGGAATGCACAGTATTTGCTTGAAGGCTTAAATTGTAGATGTTCTGTAGTCTGCATTGTGAATTTGTAGGAATTCATAAATTCAAGAAATATAATATTTGATTGCATAGAGTTTGTTATACTAAATACTTTTATAACTAAATTTTAAAAATAATTTATCGATTATCATTTCAGTGGTTAAGAAGTGTTGTACTACTACAGAGTAGCATAGCAAGGTATATTGAAAAGAGGAAATTACCTAAGGATCGTATCAAGCCAAAGATTATCACTGCATCAAGTTTAAACAAGTCAAACAATGTGATTAGTGTGAAAAATGTTCAAACAAAGGGAGTGAACCTGGCAACAATTGGACTGAACAATGCCAATATCACGCACAACGGACAGGACGAAAAAGTGTCCCTTAAGCTCGAGAACACTCAGCCGATTTGTACGGAGAACGGAACGAATTGTACGGATTTACAAAATGGCATACTGAGTGGCAATAAGTTTGAGCATGGGACACGGGGGCATGACAGAGGGGGTAGTGACATAACCCCCAGCAGCTCAAGTGTAGCAGTAAAGCAAGTGAAACAATTATATAGTGTTAATGATACACATAGAACTACAAGCGGTGCTAATTCATTTGGTAAAAGCAATGTAAACACTATGAAAGTGTACCATCCAGGAAATAAGTACGCTGTACGTGTAAATACCTTGTCAGCAGGTGGTGGGAGGGAATCAACAAATACATCATCCCATAATGTATCAAGTGCATGCCCAATGTCAATGTCAAGTGCATGCCCAATGTCAGGTAAGTGGAAATCTCAAGTTATGTTTTGTTATAAATATAATTTTATTATATTTTTTACTATGGAAATCCATTGAGCATTATCTGTGCTACAGAAACAATTTCTTTTTTTCTTTTCATTACGTCTTTTATTTCAGAAAATTACAGTATATTGCGGTACAATATTCTCCATAGCTAAAAAAATTTATTAATTACATAGGCTTATACAGAATTTAATATTTGTGTTGTTTACAATTCCATTATTGTTGATGATGACAATAGTGATTGTGGTTAAATTTTTTTAAATTAACCCCTAATGAAGGTTGTTAAAGATGTTGGAAAAACTAATTTATTAGAGTTATTACCTACCAACAAACATTCTATGCCTTTAAGCACTTAATTCTGCCAAAGTGCTGTAATTGGTGTTCCATTCAGATGAAATAATAATACAAAATCATTTGCATATGAACAACGTATACTCTTGAAAATCCAGACAAAGGAAATTATTGCTGGGCATGAAGTATTTGGCTTTACCCCTAGCTATGCTATGGAAAAGGACCATAGTTCATGTGTTAGAAGCTAACCCTCCCTAGAACCAAAAATTTGTCTAATTTTTGGGAGTGGACTTACACCTAGGGAATTCCCTTTTTTAATCCATTGACAATTTATGGCACTGTATGTCTAATTCAAAGCCAATATTTTATAATTTTTTTCTGATAATACTTGTAAAACTCATACACTGGGTTTTTGCCGGAGGAAAGTCTGGATCATAGAAATGGCATAAAGTAGGGGATGGGCTTATATTGTAAGAACTACGGTATATTTGGTATATTTTACCCTGTTGTACCCTGAAAGAAGATTAATAATATTATTGCATAGACATTCAATTTATAACATTCAAATATTTGTTAATGAATTGTTGTTGCATTTAATTTCAGGCAAATCAAATACAGGTGGTACAACAGTAACTAAGATAACACCTGCATCGTTGAGTTCATCACCAGCTATCATAAATCTCAATTCTTCCTTACAGTCATGCATTGATGGAACGACAGGTAAATAATACTAAGCAACGCATTCAAGATTTCATTCCTTTATAGTGTTTTTAAGGAAGTTGATATTAAATACAATTATAACAATACAATATTTTTTTTTATTATGCAAACAGTGTGTGAAGACAAACTAAAGGATGATAATGTTTTTATAATATGCTAGTAAAATAGTTAATAGAATAATTTTTTTGCAGATGTTAGATGAGAGTGCAGCAGCAGAGAAATCAGTGGATGAGCTATAGAGTAATTTAAGTCTCTAAACTGACCAGTAAAAATGTAGAATTCTTGGCCTATTAATGATACTGTCTTTCATTAATTTTCATATTTACATTTAGTGACATGAATGAGGAAGAAAGTTTTAATTTCTTTTATTATGATGTTTGTCATTGGCATTTTGCCAGGGCAATATAAAAGTTTAATGTATCAAAGCATTTTGTAAACATTATTGTAATGTGTAGTTTCTGGCAGAAAGTGTATTCACCCATTTATTGTGTTTCTTTTGTCCGCAGAGGTCGAACTGAGTAAACTTGACGACAAGTTAATTCAAATTTTAGCATTCCAAAGACTACAACAACTTCTACCTTCAAAGGTCAGTCTAAACTTTATAGTGCTATTGAAAACTGAATTTTGTTGCTAGATATTGTAAGTACAATAGGAAATGTTTGTAGACACACTGCCCTCGCTATCTAGGGTAATGTAATACCTTCCAGACATTTGAGAATGGTAGTTGTCTGCATATGAACTTACACTACTAAGTTTCATGTTTTAGTCTACTATACTACCAACAAATATTTAATTGTAATTCTAGAATAGTTTTGACCCATAAATAAAATTATTTTTCAATTCTTTGACCCTAAAATTGGCATGTATCTAAAGTAAATTGATGAAATGAGCAATAGCCAATAGTTGTTTTTTTTTAAATATAACATCTATAGTACATGGTTAAACAATTAATTAAAATTACACCAATGTATTATTCACTTTGTGTGGTCTGGGGGTAAAGATGTGTTTTTGTTTCACTTCCTGCAACTCATGTGTTACATTTTCTCTATTAATTTTATTGTCTTGAGTATATTTTTGTGTGTTGTATTTTACTAAAGTTTTAACCTCTGTTTTTATTATGTAAGTTTGTATTTATTGAAATGAAAATGTTCCCACTAGCTCCTTTTATGGACAATAAAGAAATCTTGAATCGCTTAGAGGCCTTGTTGGCATTAAGGATTATGTAAGTCTAACATATTAATATGCACAGTAGAACTACACTAATAATTACAACACAATAATTAGTTTAATGAGGTATGTTATTTAATTACCTTAAAAACCAGGACACCAGTAAGAAACAAACCAATAACGTGCCAGTAAGTACACCAGCCAGTTCACCGCCTGTTAAGTCAACGATACGAGCAAGAGCTTTGCTTACTCCTATTAATAACAAAGCCAAAGCAGTGAGCATGTGCTACCGATCACTCCATATTGGATCAGGTATGTATAACCTTTATCTTATTGCTTGCCTCCATAAGATTCTTTAATTTTGGTTTTGTTTTATAGCACATATTATTTAAGTATCTCAGCATTTGTGTTAGCTAGATACAGAATTATTTACACATAGTGTTAAGTAATCCCACACAGCTTATTTAATTACACACATTCTTTCACTTAGTATTTTCGGTTCTTGTAATTCAGCACACACTAATTTTAATCATTCACATCCTGTTATGTTTTAGTTTATAGTATTTCTTGGTGGAGAGAGACAATTGTCTTCCTGGATGCACCAGGAGAAGCATCTTAATTTTAAGGTGGACCAACAAGTCTTGCCTAAGGAAACAGCACACTTGTCAACATAGCATTCAAACTCACACAAATTGGATTTAAAGCCTAAACCTCTGGTTCCTAATTAATTTGTTTAAAGGCTAAAACATTTTTAGAGTTAATCTCATGGGCCAAAGATAATCTTTCCCAAGTTTGGAGCAATCATTAAAATTACTGAGTGAGTGTAAGGGACGTGTCATCAATTTACGAGTTGTTAGTCAGCTTTGGAATATGATTGATAACAATAAAAAAAATGTCTAAGGCACTTTACAAAAAATAATACAAGTAATTTAAACATTAATTATACCTGTAACGTTTGATAACTATTTTCCGCATTGTAGGCGATGACCTTTTTAAGAGCACTGTTCTTGGTACAAGTTTTTATTGTATATGTTAAATTAAGTGCAGACACTATTGACGGAACACAGTGAAAAGAACAGAGAGATAAAACTTGGAGGCACATAAAGTTTTTGTACATAGGCCTATGTTCTGTTTATGGCCTACAATATCCTCATTTTCGATAACACCTCCAAGCTGTTTGGTGGTAGACAATGTGTATGCTAATCTGGTGGTAGCTACTGTAATTCCCATCGCTGCCTCTCCTTGTGTTCAGCTGCTGGGCTAAAATACAAGTTACCATAGCGCACCGTCTTTCGGATGAGACGTTTAAGTCGTTGGTCCCGTGTGCTTATATGGCCCATGTGCACGTTAAAGAACACAGTACACTCTTCAGAAAAGAGTAAGGGATTGTCTCCCCTAATATTACTAATATAATATAACAGATATTTTGTTAGCTCCTACTATCTTTATCAATATTCAAGTCGTATATAAATATAGATATACATGTATTTGTTTCACTAATTCATCACAGATTTTGTGGCAACAACGTTAAATGTGTCTGCAAGTTAATGCAAGTAAACACTGTTTTGGTTTAACATTTTTTTCCTTCTTCAATAGGTAGTGAAATGCATGTTTGCTTATCAAACTTTGGCCATTGTAACTACATATCTCCAAAACATGCCTGTATTTTTTATGATGAGGTTTGTATTCTTTTTTTTATATTTCACGTAATTTAGAGGGATAGTACTTTATTGCTATTTTTGTTGTGGTGTTATTGATATATTTGATTGAATTTTAAAGTCAGTCTTATTTTGCTCCTTTGCAATTACCGTAATTTAAATATTATTTTTTTTGTAGGTAAGTCGACAGTATGAATTACTGAATTACAGTGAGCATGGTACAACAGTGGACAATGTACTCTACTCGTGTGATTTTTCTGAGAAGTTGACTTCGGCTCAGACGGCTTCGGAAGTTTACAGCCCTGTGCAAGACATCATCAAAAAAATGAAAAAGGAACAAAATATGGAAGAGGAAAAGAAAACTAGAATGTGTAGTCTCAATGCCTCTCATTTCGATAAGGCCTGTAACTGCAAGACTAGTTCATCAACATTTATAGGGGGCAGTGGTGCAGGGTGGGAAGGCACAGCAGTCCTGCACCATGGCAGCTTAATTCGAATTGGATGTTTGCAATTTATATTTAGCGTAACTGATGCTGGTTCGATGCTAGAGAAATCAGCTAATGAGAAGTCACATATTTTTCCATTGAAATCTTAAAGGGCAAAATGTATTCAAGGTTGTTGCATCTATGGTTTGTACTTCAAACAATCGCTAATTGATTTTCTGTTTTCTTGCGCTTTTATGACGTTTGCAGCAAGACGGAAAGCTGCATCCCTGTGTCCATGCTGAAAACCATGATTTGGTATCTCTTGGTCTTTGGCCAAAAAATAATTAAAAATTTTTAAGTTACTTTGCCACTTGTGATTTAACATGTACCTTCTGTAAGCTATCCGTCCTAAGTGCTTTTAACAAGAATATTCTGAAGAAGAAAAGTAGCCAGTTTTGTTTTTTGTACATGAGAATTGCTTGTAGAAGCTGTGTTAATGAATTTTTGTAATGGACATTATTGTGAGGCAAATTGTGGAAGAAAATGAAATGATAACTGCTGGCAGTAATGTATTCATATTAGAATGTGAAGACCTCGTTATTATTATTTTTATTATTGCTATACAACAAATATTATTATTTTATTGTTAATATTTTTATAATTATCAATTTTTACAGTTGATTAATAATTTCAAAACAGCTGTAAATTATACATTTAAATTCAGGAATCTTTAAATGTCACCTTTAAATAGCTAAATGAAGGAATTATTACTGTTTAGAATAATTTAGGATGTATTTTGGTGAAGATCAATTTTTATAATGTCTGGCTTGCAGTGGCTGGCATCCCCATGCTTTGTTATCCTTGTGCTTTGTTATTTCTTTTTTTTTTTATCATTTGTTCCTCATTATGTTTGTTATGCCTGCCTTCCCTGTAAGCTAATGCTAAACTTGTCTGCTCAAATGCACAATTTAATAGGGTTTTCCTTTGAAATCAATCAGATTATATAGAATGATATTTATACATATGTATAATGATGAACACAGGTGGAATACAAAATATTTAAAAAGTGCTTTTTTTCTGCAGCACAATACTAACATTATTTATGAGAAATGCAAACAGTTTTAAAACCTAGAAGAATATGAATGTTTTAAAAAATGCATATTTCTCATATCTGTTAAACTAGTATTACAAATTCTAGGAATTTGTAATGCAAATGCAACGAGAAATCAAGTAAAAGACCATTCATTGATGATTCTTGTGTGGTGTAGCATCCATTGGCTATTTTTTTTTACCAGTTAATCATAAAGTTGAGAAAGATATACAAATAAAAACACCATATGTTAATATCTTGTAAATAATTGTCTGGTATTTTTTTTTTTTTTTTGCTATACAGTAATTATAATGTAATAAACTACATAGATGAAGTTTGTTTCTTAATTTGAACCTGGGCTTCTTGGTTGTAAGCCTTGATCAAATGGACCACTGAGGCTTTTGTTGGGAATTTGAATTTGGAGGAAACTAATTTTTATGCAACAGTAATAGCGTTTAAAGTATAACTGGTATCTATACAATATTATCAAGTACTGTCCACTAAAAGAAACAAAATGAAACCTATTCAATATATTGTCCTAAATACTGAATATATTTTAATTATATTGTTGTTGTTATTTTATAGCACCTATTCCTTTAGGTTACAAAGCGCTTTGTTTTCCCTGGTCATTGGGTCCTCATGCTTCAGTGTTGCTGCCATATTAGCGAGCTTTCGAAATGGGGGACGCGGGGAGCTGTGACGGGGAATTCAGTCAACCATGAACGTCGTATTAATATGCACTTCCTGTTTCAACATCAAAGCTGTTTCGATTTACTGGAAGACACGCTCCCTCGTATCACGTGATCAATTATGCAGGCGGCCACAGCGAGCACGTATTTATAAAACGCACGTTGCCGTGGTCAACACAACGCCAAATCGCTTAAAGCCCATTGTCAAATCCACACAACGAACGACTTCCCCATGTACTCGCATGCGCAGTACGGTTTCACGCTCCACTGCCCATCGTAGAACGCCGCGTCGTCCAAATCGAAAGCTGCTTATTGGCGCAGTAGCAGGAAACCCCACCAGGTACCCATCTACTCCTGAGTTGAGAGAAGCAATGCAGATAAAGTGCCTTGCTCAAGGACACGAGAAATGAACAGCGAGGGATTGAAGCCTCGAGGTTGGGAAACCAAACCGTTCCTGCTGCGCAAAACTGGATCCGATAATTATAGTTTTAATTCTTCATAGACTCCTCTGCTGTCATCCTGTTTTAGAAGCTGTATGTTTGTATCAGATGATGACAACAACAGTATATTAACATGTGGGGCAAGTTGCCCAGATAGTTTAATAAAAAAAAAAAACTGGTTTTAAAGGACAGAGATGAAAATCACTCACTGATGCTATGAAGAAAACAAATGCATGCAAGCAAAACTGAAAAAAATGTGTGTAATATATATTCACCACGAGCACTATTCAGAGATTTGGACACTTAAAAGCAAATTTCTAAAAGCACAGTACTGTATTGGAAGTGAGCTAAGATTGTAAAATTTTAAAAAGTTATAAAAAGAGAGAAAAAAAAGGTTCAATGATTTTGATGCTAGAAATAAAAGAACATGGACTGAACTGAGAGAAGAACAGTATAGTGTTATGTTACTGAAGAAGCTACCAAGTAAGTGTGTCTTTGATAGTTTTGTTATTTCTTCCAAGTCTCAGTGATGGTTTGTTGTTGGTGCGGAAATAACTTATTTCTGAAGAGATATGTCCATTCGTTATATTAAAATGCCAGCCCACTTTAGTATTGTCAATATGATCAGTAGATTGGTTTTCTGTGTTCGTGAGAATAATATCATGATGGTTGAAAAGATGAGAATCCAGAATTCTTGATTCCGCACAAGTACCACATGCTACAGATCCACTCTAATATTCTTATATTTACTACAAATACTTGTGTTTGAATTCCAGTGACCTACAATCAATGACTAACATCACACAATAATTTTTTAAGTTTGCAATGGAAGGATTGGCCTGAAAAAAGTTCCAATAAGATTGTGTCAACAATTGGTTTCAATAGCTCACAGCGAGATCGTTTGTTTGGTAAGCTTACCGCCTATGGAGTTGTGGTCACGTTCTGCAATGCATAACTATACAATAGAAAAAGTGAGAATTATATATATCATGTTACTTGTTACAATCTTGCACAAGTATCTGTAGCTAATGTAACATCTAGTTTAATTATGGAGATTGACGTTTCTGAAGGTCTGTACTCGCCTCCTACAGTCATTGTCACCGATTCTTGTCACGAGAAGAACGTGTCTCTAGACGAATTAAAGCCAGGTTTTTCAAACTCCCAGCGTAGGCATAGTTCCGTCGATCTGAAGAGTTTTTTCGGCATAAGCGAAAGAGGTAGGCCTACTGTGAACGAAATCGCGCAAAGTAGACCTAATGGAGTCGCTCATACTTCGGAACTTGGAGATACCATCGATTTACCGATTCCTCCTCAAGAACGACGTCGAAGTTTTAGTGGATTGATACAAGGATTATCATTAACTCGTGTGACCAACCGAATGGATGCGTCACCCACTAAAGAGAATGCACCATATTTACACAGACAATATGAATTTGAATCTGGTGGTCTTCTTCTGGATGAAACAGGTATTCGAGAACGCAGTCGAAGTGTTGGTGAACTTACGAATAATCTTGTGTTTGGTGATGTTGTCGGGGGTGTTAGTAAAATAAAGCGTTTGTTCTCAAAGACAGACTCAGAAACTGACTTGCGAACATCGGAACAACGCCAAAATGATCTGAAGCTGAAACATGCAAGAGCGGAATCCTGTACACTACCAGTGGGAATACGGCCAGACTACAAGAATTTTGCTGATGATAAAAAACGCTGGTCTATGCAACCGACACCAGCTTTGACGTGGGGACGTCGCCGTGTCAGTCAATTGCTTGATTTCGATTTAAAATCTTTATTCAAACAAGAGAAGGCAACTAATAATGTAAGCCTACTAGATGAAGAAGGCAATCAGGTTTGTAAAGATATAGTTATTTTGATATTTTCATCGAAGACATAGGCCTATACTAATTCAGTTGCTATTTTCAGACCCAAGGCTTAAAACCCACCAGAGCAAAATAATGTGACGCACTACACAACATCTTTTGTTATTTAGCTGCTACAAATCTTGAATTTATTATAATGATATTTATTATATAGTGATATTATAATCAGTTAACCACGGTGCATGCATTAGGCATAGGCCTATGTAAACGTGTAAACTGTAGACCATAGACCACAAACATGTGACAGTCCGCGGAGTGGCAAAACATCCAGGAAAACGCCCTAATACTTTTACTACAAAAAGTGCAAACACGGAGACAAGTCACGTGTTTGTTTTGTTGAAACTTTATTATATGTTTAGTATTAATTGTTGTATTGTTGTTTACTTTGGATACTTTTCTATCAGGGTTCATTGCTTCTGTTGATTACGGATTTGTATATTCGTTCAGCTTTATGGTTCATTACTTTACTATATATAAGGTTATGCTTTTAAAAACACAGATTTATTTAATTAAGGTGACTACCGTACTCGCGCGAATAAGCGCCCCATTTGAATAAGCGAATATACTCATTGTGTGGATTTTGGCATGATTTGAGGTGTGGAGTGGAATCACATTCTCCTGTAGTCAATATCAAAATGAGGATATTTATCTTGGACAGATGAGAGCTCCCTGGACAGACAGTATATTTCCAACTTTCATCTTTTCATCAACATTTTTCTATAGCCTAGTCCTACTGCTTTTCCGACAATTTACACCTAACACATTCTCATCTGAGTTTTCAAGAAAACATGCAATGATCATGCCATCCTGCTGATCTCAATCAACCGATAGCCAACAAGCTAACCACCACCACTAATTTCATCTGCTATTCTGCTGTTATGTAATACATGTACTCACAACATTCTTGTCATGACAAGCCATGCTCTTTGGACGAAAGTTTCCGCCGCACCACCATTCGTAATTCTGCGGTTTCCTGATATCCTTATAATCGTTTTTCATTCAAAATATGGCTCTTGAATTTAATAAGTTCATAAGAACCCCTCGATTTTCATCTATTTCCATAAGCGCCCCCCTCAATTTCCACTCTATTTTGATAAGCGCCCCGTTCGAATAAGCGCCCCGTTTGAATAAGCGCCCCTCAAAAAGTGTAAAAAATGTTTAAGCGCCCGGGCGCTTATTCGCGCGAGTACGGTAAATATATTTATCTCAAAATGGAAATCAAATTCACTTGTATAGCTCATTACACGGTTAAAAATAACCTCGAAGCACTTAACAGAACGTGAAAGGAAACCTGGATGTGAACTAATATGCCTAGATGAGTGAGACTGGAAAAGGTGTTTTTATTTGGTCTTGGAAAAAATTGTTCCACAATTGGAACATGTCTTGATCTTGTGATTGGCTCTCATGTGCAGCATTTTGACACGAGCTCACTGGGCAACCGCACGGCGCAAGAGTGAAATGTCGTGCCTCCTATAATGTGTAAAATTCACACCCGTTTCATGTAGCGAACCTATTATTCATAAAGAAATTTATAGCTCATTACACGGTTAAAAATCGTCTCGAAGCACTTAAAGAACGTGAAAGGAAACCCGGATGTGAACTAATGGGCCTCTGAGAGAGAGTGGAAAAGGCGTTTTTATTTGGTCTTGGAAACAATTGTTCCACAATTGGAACATGTCTTGATCTTGTGATTGGCTCTCATGTGCAGCATTTTGACACGAGCTCACTGGGCAACCGCACGGCGCAAGAGTGAAATGTCGTGCCTCCTATAATGTGTAAAATTCACACCCGTTTCATGTAGCGAACCTGTTATTCATAAAGAAATTTAATAGCATTCTGTTAAGCTACCTACTATAGTTATTCCTTAGATTCTGTGGTTTATTTTTAACAGAAGGGTTGTACTATTACGTGTTTATTACTGCATCCACCAATAATGCCGGCTTAAAATCGGTGTTTATGGTATAGCTATGCTTTCTATTAATGTTCTTGGTTATATAAGAGAAGAATACATTTGTAAGCAAAGAATACTATGGAAAAAATTTTATTATAATTGATTTCATTTACGATTATTATTAGCCTATATCAATCAGTCAAATCAATTAAACTTTATTAGGTCCTTGTTATTTTGAATAAGTTCCATAGCATGCATATATAATACAAATACAAAGATAAAACTGTATGTAAAAATTATTTTTAAAAAGCAATAAAAAATACCATATTTAATATATTGAAGGCCAATTGCATTTAAAACATCATAATTATATTAAAACATCATAAAAAGTATAAAATCACATTATTGCATCATTTAAAAGCCGAATGGAATATGGGACAAATGAATTAAAATATCTACCAACTCTGCAACTGACTGATCTTAGCAAAATCAGTCTTTTCGACCTCATATTGACATACAATTGGTTTCAAATGATATGATTAACATCTTCACAATTTTTTAGCCTTATTTAGTTATTATATAGATAGGCCTACTAATTATTATTAAAATGTTACTAGTTGTCTTCAAAATAGAATTTCCCTCACCAATTCAAATTAACTACCGTTTAATCTTCTTTTTGTGGCTCTTTTAAATGGTAAATTCAATTTTTTATTTAGCTATTAATTACATTTTTTCGTGAATTTTTTAAGCCAATACTGTACAGTTACTGCACTAAAAAAGAAAACTTTCAATCTGTATAATCTGATTGGACGTTAAGAAGTAAGTTGGTGTAAAGCATGTTTCTGATTGGATAATACTTACAGTACTTGGATGCTTGTTGGATCTGTTGTTGTTGCAGCGCGTGCACACATATATCGACAACAGCAAAGATTTTATAGCTAGAGCGCCGTGCTTTACAATGTTTGTTTGGTGGTGATGTGGAGAAGAGCTAGGCCTTAGTAGGAGTAGGGTAGGACAAGGTCCCTAGGCCTAGCCAGAGCGATGGGAAACAGCTAAATAGAGTGTGTGTTTTATAATTTTTCCTTAACTATTTTATACATTTGATTTGGACATCATAATTTAGTTAGGCCTAGCCTAGGCCTAGTAGTAGAGTAGGCCTTAGGCTAGACCTAGGGTAGGGGAGTGGTCTGCAGTAGGCCTAGTTGCGCTAGGCTAGGCTAGGTAGGAGGCCAGATATCTTATTATGATTTTTTTTTGGCTATTGTAAATGCTTATACTTTATAGATGAATGAATGTAAATGTAATGTTTATTGTATTGCAGATAATAGTCCATTATTAACAGCTTTGCATTTTGGAGCAAATAAATTGTAATTGTATACCTTAGTGTATATTATAACATATACAATTTTTAATAATATAAATACGATTACGATTTTAACATATGTTTCTATTTGATCACTGTTATATTATTTTATCATTAGTATTATTATGATTATCAATGTTATTATTATTATCAATACTATTATCATCAATATTTTTTATTCATATATGTACTGGTATATGATTAGTAGTTGTAATAATTGTAAGTGTAATAATTAGCCTATGTTGATGGTTGTTGACGCTAATTGTTATGACGTTGATGGTTGTTGATGCTAATTATTTTGACGATCACTGTTATATTATTAATTATTGTGTCAGTATTATTATTGCCATTAATCAATATAATTATTATCAACATTATTTTTATCAAAATTATTATCATTATTTTATATATATATATATATAATTAGTAGTTTGTAATAATTGTAAATGTAATAATTAGTTTTTGTTGACGCTAATTAGTATGTTGATGGTTGGGGACGGTAATTAGTGTGTTGACGGTCGTTGATGATAATTAGTATAATCGTCAACAACAGTAGTCTCAAAAAGAAGCCCCTGTGGAAAAGAAGCCCATTTGGAAAAGAGGCTCCTTACGAAGATCCGGGGGCTTATATTCAAGTTTCTATTAAATACAGTACTATACTTTATTTTTTTTAAATGAAGCAAGGCCTCTCCTGATTGGATATGATAAATCTTTCCAGAGTGTCAATCAAACTGAACAACTGACCAATCAGAACAAGGCCAGAAGTGCTTGTCCTCAAACACACATGTTGTTCCACAAACCACAAACTCATGTGTTGCTTATGTATTCAGTGCAATTCAATTCAGTTTTATCATCAAATCAAGTCAGTTTACAAATAAAATGAGTTAAAATGTTAAAATAGGATAAGAGATGAACATGACATTCAAAAAAACTTTAATGAGCTTGTAACATGAAGACCAGTATGTAGGGCTTAGCGGAGGGTCCATAATACAAATAGTAATCTTTATTTATTCACAAAACTATTTCCCCCTGTGGGTGCACTTACAAAAGGCTGTGAGGTACACAATACAATTATATATAAAACTAATTAAACCATACAGAATTCAATAACTTTCTATTGACTATGATTAAACTAAACTAAAAAACAAAAAAGCATAATTGACAAAGCTTAATTTTATATTAACACATAGAATGATTATTATGTATGTATTTCCACATAGAATGATTATCTTGAATGTATTTCCTTAGCTAAAATTGGATTGTAAACGGACTTACACACACAAAAAAAAAACACAATAAACTATCCGTTACCACTGTGAACAAGGACTGATGATTGATATTCAAGGGTTTTTTTTAAAGCCCCGCAGTAATTAAGGGCCATGCTCCCCTCCTCTGCTAAATATTTGGTTCCTCCCTGTAAAAGTCAAGGGTATATTTGGGTATGTAAAAATAACAACAAATGAACAACATATATTTATTTCTTTAATTTATATATGAGAGGCAGAGGATGCCGTTAACTACAGCCTTAACATCAACGCTGGTTGCAGCCACTTCTCAATAAGGGCTCAGTTGGTAGAACCAAGTCTTCTTGGATAAGGAATTAAAATGGAGGTCTAGTGTATGCATATGACTTGTGTGCACTTTAAAGAACCTATTGCATCTTTCTGTTAAATTATATATAAGTCACCAAAGAAAGGTAAATACAGTGTTCGAATAAGGGACATGATAATACTTTGTGTAGCATAGCTCTCAACGAATGTTGTACTATAAATAGATGAATATAGAAACCGTGTAATGAAATGCCTCTGACAGGATTCAAACCTGCAACCCTTGTATTCAAGCTGAGAAGCATACCATTAGACCACAGAGACCTTACAGTATATGTGCTAATTCGTATGGCCTGTATTCTTTAGTTTTGTAGAAAGCTTGGTAATGGAATTAATTAGTCAACTAGGTTTGTAAAAACAAGTCAATTCGATTATTGTGTTTTTTAATTCTGTTACTATGGAATTGCCCATATATATTCAAATATTTCTTTATTTTAACTAAGATCTGACAGTTGTTTCTTAACAGCATTTTGGTTTTTGTTCTTAAATTTGTTACTAGGTCGAGTTGGTTTAAATTCTAATCCCATAGTTGGGATGGGGTGAGTTGGGATGGGATAAGTTGCCATGGGTCGAATTGGAATGGGTCAGGTTTGGGTTAATAGACCAAAGTATGAAGCTATCAAAATACCCTCTGATGGTTATGGCATGTGCAAACATATTAATATTTTATGATGTGATGTTGTAGACATGCATCATATTACAGTAGGCCTATAATGATAATAAAAACAACAGCCTCCCCCACATCCTGCCTACTGTAGGGATTGCATGTATGCCTTTTATGTTATCAGCTTTTTAATAATACTTAATCGAATCTAGGCTAACCTATGTCATCGGTACTGATTTGTATTGTTTACTTTTGATGTACATGATTATAGGAATGAAGCTCATGTGTACATAAGATAGCGAGTGGTGTATTGTGACCTTTCAAAGTGTTATTTACCCCACCACTGTACTAGTTAGTACCTTCTTGTTAGTACCTCCTTAATAAGTACTCTGATTACAATGGCTGAGCTACAGAAAGCCTTAGATGAAGTTCACAATGAAGGTGGTAGTAATCCTGTAAGTAAAGTATTAAAATCATTTATGCATAAATAGGGAAAAAATTGCCTTTTGGCTACATACAAAGTAACTTTCACCTTATACTATTGCATGCGGGCTATTTTTGTAACTATGAATTAACTGTTAACATAATGATTGAACTTTGGCATAACTAATTGTGTGGGTTGATGCAACGAACAGCAGTAACTTAAGCACTATAAATAAAGGAAAATAGAGTAATATCTAGCTAAACTTTAAATTGGGGTAAATCTGTATGATAACTGGAAGTTGTTAGTTATACCTACTGGAATATTATGGTAAATGAGAAAGCCTGTACCCTATACATTTTAAAATGATTTAGGAATATCAGTTTAGCATTTATATTAACAAATAATGCTAGATTTAATCAAGGAGGTATACCTCCTTGATTTAATTAGGGACCAAAAAAGAAAAACGAGAAAACTCTTCAGGCATTATAACTATGACCTCAGGACTGATTCATTGCTGAAACTTGAGCTGGGAAAATATATTCATGAAGCATAAATTAATAAAGTTTTGTAGATGTTGGCTTTAAGAATAAGAATATAAAGGTGCCATAATCATAACTTTTCTTACCTTAGCCCTAACCATGGTGGGGCTGACATGGTATAGACCCTATATTTGTGAAAGTCCCCCCCCCCTGGGCCCCTCTATTTAGAATTCCTATATCCACTACTACCATTGAAGGGAGACCCTATTAAAAAGGACACTTTTCTCCTGGAGATGGCCCTTTAATAATGGTTCCACACTTTTTTTTGTTAAGCCTTTTTTTGACAATGAAATAATAATAATAATACAATACAAGCACACGTCATTGCACCCAGTAGACCAATATTGGCTTTGATGTTCTGCGCTTTTTTATGCAGCTATTGTATTACCTCAGACTATTGGCTCTAGTTGGCATCATTGTGGCAAAAAGGTTTTCCTAGTTTTTGGTATTTCCTTGATAAAACCTTGCATGGCATTGAGAATTAAAATATTTGATATGATATTAAGCTTTCTTTATTCTGGGTGTAACCATTCAGTGACTAGAACTGCTTTCCAGAGAAGCTCTGGTACATAAATGTAAAAATAAATACAGAAAATATGTTTACAAATATACTATACAATAGTAACCCAAAAGTAAATTAAAAACAATGATAAAGTAGACTAGAACTAAAATGAAAGTAAAAAATGATAACTTGAAAACCAAGACAAAAAATATTACAAGTTAGAAGTCATTAAACTAGAGGGGAGATAGTAGTGAAACAGATAAAGGCATCATTTTAAAACTTATTAATAAAAAGAGATTCAATATTATTGTGAATGTTATGAGAAAGATTGTTCCAAAGAGGAGTAGCAAAGATATGAGTAAAGTAATTATAATTTAATTTGTTTCAATTATGATTTGTCATTTGTTTTTTTTCCAATCAAGTTTTTTTATTTTTTACAAAGTAACATGCCCCTTATATCTCAAATTAGTATACAGTTCATTGTAAATTTCTTTGTGTTGGTAATTTTTTTGTTGTTCTCATATTCGTTTATTTTGTATAATTCATTCCAGAATGTTGATGAGAATCACCAAGATAATGACACAGCAATTGAGGTTGGTACTACTGCAAATAATATCTAAATCATTTATACATTTTCAGGAAATTTTCTGGGAAATGGAATAATCGGTAATAATGCTTTCATTGACTTTAATTTTGAGCGCACACTCAGGCAGTTAAGAAAAAGTTCCTCTTTATAAAAAAAAACAAAAAAACATTTGAATAACTTTTTTATTTGCTTTAGCTTTGGTGAGGGTTCCTCTTCTTTACTGTTTCTTTTCCTTTGAAAATTCTTTACATGTCTATCATGGTTTACTAACTATCTTTATATAATAGTTTTTGGTTTATGTGGCAGCCGTAAGTATCCTATCCATTAGTCCTGATGCTGATGTTTCAAAAAGACTTGGGTCTTAATAAAAATTATAATTGTGTTTGTAAAAAGTTATATCATTGCATTAGCCATTGTAACTAATGCTGCAGGGGTCCTCTTAATTATTTTTAACATGATTATCGGAATTAATGTGGGCTCATCATAAATCATCACATGACTACTTGGGACTGCCACTGTAACTGATTCTTAGTAGATTGTATTTCTGGTTGCTATGCTTTAAATTGTTATTCTTTATACTAACTGTAGCTTAGTAGTGAGCAAACTATAACTAGCTTGGTCAGCACACGTCAGCAGCTGGCTTCGTCAGAAGAGGTTAGAAGCGATGACGAACAAAAGGACAAATCACCTGCTGTGGAAAGTTATGAAGTTTTAGATGATGACGATGAAACAATAGAAATCATCAATGATAATGTTGAAAATCAGAATAATGAAACAACACCTAATAAAGAAAGAAGTCATGAATCTAATGAGCTCCAACAAATTATCCCACCCCCAAATCTGGCCCCTAAGCTGGTAAGTTTATGCTTTTTTAGTATAAATTACCTGGTCAGCTGGTGAGTTTTTTGTGTGCCTTAAGTAGATTGCTTGAATTGTTCACATGCGTGCATGCACATAGTCATTAGTGCACCCACAGCCCAACAGGCAAAAATAGACAACATTGGAAAAATTAGGAACATGGAAGCACTTGTAAAATTCATATTACAAAATCACTCTTTTAAAAAGCTTGCATAAGCAATTGCACTGAATTCCTATTGCAAATGAATGAACAATGAACTCAGTGGCGTATCTAGGAGAAATTGGGGGACTGATAGGTGTGTGAATGTGACGTGGGGGTGCTTGATGATTAGGTGATGGGAGCTTGCTCGCAATATATCGTGATTTTAGGTGATTTTTAGCTACTTGAGCGTGATTATTTTTGCTTCAAACATTTTTAGTGGGGAGGAGACTGGAGGTGCAAGTATTTGGGGGGCATGCACCTTCTCCCACACCCATAGATATGCCACTGATCATTCTCGCATTCATGTTGCTGCTTCAAAGGTGTTATTATCACCCTCTCTCATAGGTCTTTTTCTGTTTGAAAGCACTAAGCTAGTTTGTCATGCAATCACTTTTGATTCTCTTAGAAAAGAAATCGCTTTGCGGGTAGAAAACGTCATGGGCAAACCAAGCAACAAAACATACAGCAGGTAAGGTGGCTAAGACATTGCCAAGCTGGGCTAATGATAATAATACCACCAAGGTTTATTAAAACAACATAATATTGTAACAACATATTATTTCATAATATTGGAGAAAATGAAAGATAACATGTTTTTTTTTACACAGAATAGAACATAAATTGTTATTAGGCATATTTTGGGTTACTTTATGGTAAATATTTTAGTATCTGTATAGTATTGTAATTTAATTATAATATTAATTATCTGACATCTTTTTTCCCAACAGAGTATTTACTAATTATTTAAATAATGATCAGTCTTATCTAACTCAGTAATCTGCATAGTGCAGCAAGATTTCAGAAATGCAAATCATAGCGTCATTGAAAAATTGTTTTCTGCCATGGATATTATCGCTCTTCGGATATCTGCTGATTGATTTATATAAAGATAAATGTTGCATCTTTTGCTTAGCTTGCCTTATGTACTACTTTGCTTTTTCCTACCTTGGGCCCTATGTATCCCATCCCTCCACTCCCTGCCCATCATAATGCACAAACCCATCTCATCTCTTCACCTGTCTTTATGCACTTACACCTTCCATCAACCCTTCTCTCTCATCTCTGTCCAGATTAGCAAATTTTTTTTGACAAAAAAATGTTATATGCCCATATATTGACATGATGTGCCTATATATGGTCATGATGTGATGTCATCATGACCATATTAAGGCATGTCACATGTTTTTGTCAAATAAAATTTGATAGTCTGGACAGGGTTTTATATCAACTCCCTATCAACATTATACACTTGTATACATTATTTCAACTCATCACAGATCATTATGCACATATCCCTCATCTTACCTCCTCATGCATTCTTATATATGCATCCCTTTTCTTATCCCCTCCCCATCTTTATGTATGGATACATTTTCTGCTTTGCATGTACTTGTGTGCTACTTGACCTTTTTTAGAAACCATCTCAACTCTTTGTTGCTACAGCTATATTTGGAATTATAACTAAGGTTAGTGATAATATTTATCGATTCTTCCCTTAATCTTTCATAATACATTGTGTTCTTTTTTTTCAGTATTCTGTGTCATTTATTCCAGAATTAGAAAACGGCTTTTGTAGAGGTTGCTTTTGGTTAACAATGAGTAAAACTGATAGAAGTAAATTAAGAAATTAATTATAATACTTTCCTCTCAATATGGTAACATTCTGAATATTGACGACTATAAAGAATATTGAATTCTAATAACAAAATAAAATATTTACACCTTTATCAAGCTCTGTCCACACTACCTAATTTTGTGTGACAAAAAAATGTGATATGCCCATATTTGGGCATAATATGACATCATCATGCCCATATATGTGCACATCACACAAATTTTTAATGTGGACAGAGTTTTATATTGACTAAATTATTTGGTGCTGAAGTACAATAACTTCGATTGAGCGTGAAGTGCAGGTTGTCTAGTTGATTAATAAGTATGGCATTTTCAGGATGAGTTTGTTGAGTTCTACAATCAAGTTGTACGAACACTGCTTCACCCCCTGGGAAAATTTGACTGTTCAGGTATAAGCCCCTTGGAACTTGTTTCTCATCTTCAGAAGGTAGTTTTACACTTTTCTTATTATTTTCGTTTTTTCTGTTTTAAATTAATTATGATTAAAATTGGATACTAAATATAACACTGGGGCGGAGTCCACAGCACCTTAGCCCCACAATGGTTGGGTCTGAGGTGCGAACATTTTGAGAATATGGACCTCTAGGACGTAGGTGCCTAGAAATTGCACCCTCATACTAATTATAGCCCCCTATATCAACAATACAATACAACAATTATTTTTCTTAATACAATTTCGGGGAGTGCGAACACACCTGCATCCGCCTCAGTAATAAAGAGTTTATCTCAAACACTTTGGTTTGTTTGATAGGTTTTAAATGTTGATCAAGCTCTTCATAGCAGTTTAATTAAAGATCAAGTTAACAAATTGGTAAGTTTGTTTCTCTTTATTATTATCCATTATATGCCTACTTCTTGGTAGTGAGAAGAAATGCAGATAAAGTGCCTTGCTCAAGACCACATGCAAAATACATTGAGGTTAGGAAACCAAATAATATTAATTTGAACATTTCTTAAGCGCTCTTACACAGATGGTCTCAAAGCACTGTAAGAGAAAAGATTTAAGGGAAGTTTTGAGAGCAGTTTTGAACTGTTTCAAAGTTGAGATCGGCAAATTTCATGAAGCAGTTCATTCCATAGGGAAGGTGCTGCAGGATGTGCTGTGAATTATACAATGTTCTAATATTTTTTAAATACTTTTAACAGCCTGAAAAGGTTATTCTCAAGTTGAGAGTAATTGAAGCAAAGGACCTTAAGCCAATGGATTCCAATGGTATGTGTTAATTTTTTTGTTTATAATCATAATGATGATTATTTAACAAATCATCATCATCATCATTATCTTCTTCTTCATCGTTTATCGTCTTCACCTTCATTCATCATGATTCTGTATGTACCATGGTCTAGGCTTGTAGGCAGGGGATGCAGAGGGTGCGAATGCATTCCCCCTCCCTCCCGCCCCCCCCAAATTCCAAAACTTTTTTAAACCTATTACCTGTATTTCAAAAAATTGTTCCTAATTATTGATAATTACATGCATTTTATTTTATATTTACCAGCTCTAACTGTCGCTTTTTAATAACTGTGGTATAAAATTTGTTGGTAATTTATCAGCTCCATTGATTTCATATCCATATGAAGAATGTTTATCTGTAGGCCCACAGATTTAAAGGACATAAAACGTTAATTCTTCAGGTCCCTAAGGCACCCAAGCTAATGAAAACTTAAATAGAATATTCACGAATTAAGGAATTTAGAAATCCATTAAGGAATTTAAAATTCTACTTTGTCGGGGTTTCCAGGGGCCCTAAATTTCAAAATGTCCACTTGTTCATAATTATCGCTTAATGATATAGTATGTATTGCACTTTATTTGCCAGTCTGACCATTGATTTTAATAGGCCTAACATCACTGGTACAAATTTTTTGGAAATTATCAGATAAAGTGCATGTAGTCTGATCCATGAGGAACAATTCTATTTGGAGGCTTGCAGATGTAAAGGACTTGAAAACATTACTTCTTCAGGTCCCACAACACCCAAATGAATGTAAATTAAAATGGAATATTCACAAATTATGGGTTTCAGAAATTATATGACTCTCAAAATGTAAATTTGTCAGATCGTCCGAGGGGTTTGACCCCAAACCCCCACTCGACTTCCAAATTTCAAAAGTTCATTTTTTATAACCTCTTAATTTAGTAAATTCTATAGTTACTAGATGTAGTATGCATTGGATTTTATTTGCCAGCTCTTCTAACCGTTTGTAAATAACTGTGGTATGAAATTTGTTGGAAATTATCAGCTCCAGTGATTGTAGATGGATCCATTATGGACAATTAAATGTTACCTGTCGGCCTACAGACGTTAAGGACATAAAAAGTTGCAACTTTAGGTCCTTAGCAACACCCACAAATTTAAATAGAATAGAACAATTTATATGACCCTCAAGAGCTTCCGGGTGTTTCACCCCACAGGGTCCTAGGCTGCCCATCGTCTAATGTCCACTTTGCTTGCAAAACGCACCTCCCCATCGAAAATCCTGCCTGTGGTCACACATAATGTGACCAACATCAGACCATCCAAAGACATAAGGTGTTTCAGATTTTAAAATACAATTTTTTAAATTTTAGGCTTAAGTGATCCTTACTTTATGATATCACTCGGAACTAAGACAGCCTCTCGCAGTGGTACACTAGAAAGGAAGTCCAATCCAAACATGACCCCACAAGTGGAGAGAAAAACAGACAGCAGTGAACATTCTGAGACCACACCCACTAGTGAACAACTCAAGAAGGACACCAGTATTGACGATGGTGCAGAAAGTCGCAAAAACAAGAAACAAAAAAAGATTGCTCGCATCAAAAGTACCGGTAAAGGTGATGCTAAAATGTCTACAGACAGCAATGCAACTACAGAGACAGCACCCTCTGGTGACCAACTTAAAAAGGAAGGGAGTGTAGATGATGGTTCAGAAAAAAGCAAAAACAAGAAACAGAAAAAAATCACTCGCAATAAAAGTGGCAGTAAGGGTGATATTGGTACTAAGGTGGTGTCACTGGATGAAGATGGTGATGATGACCCTACTTATGGAACAACTGACCAACTCAAAAGGGAAGGAAGTGTTGATGATGGTTCAGAAAAATTAAAAAACAAGAAACAGAAAAAAGTTGCTCGCAATAAAAGTGCTGGAAAGGGTGATATGGGTACTAAGTTGTCCTCAATGGATGGAGATGGTGATGAAGAGCCTGCCTATAGAACAACGGTTGCTAAGGAGACGCTACATCCTATTTGGAATGAAATATTCCTCATGTAAGTCAATCTCATGTGTTTTGATTCAGTGATCAACATACATTTTTCATGAATAAATCACATCCTCAGTTTAATCATGTTGATAATAATATAATGTTTTATGCTTTTTTGTAAATTTTGAATAAAAATACCATTATATATATAGTATATATATATTTGTTTCTTTTTTTACTTCTTTAATTCTGTTTTGTTTTTGATTATTTTAAGTCTTTTTTTTGGTCTTGTAATTGATTCAGTGATCAACATACATTTTTCATGAATAAATCACATCCTCAGTTTAAGCATGTTGATAATAATATAATGTTTTATGCTTTTTTGTAAATTTTGAATAAAAATACCATTATATATATAGTATATATATATTTGTTTCTTTTTTTACTTCTTTAATTCTGTTTTGTTTTTGATTATTTTAAGTCTTTTTTTTTGGTCTTGTAATTGATTTTGTAAAGTAATTAATTTATGATCTAGTTTTCCGTTTTCAAATAAACCCATTATTATTATTATTATTATTATTATTACAGGGTTCGTACGCGTCCTTAAATTCATTGAAAGTCCTGGAAAAATGAATGAGCATTTTCCAGTACTGGAAAATCCTGGAAATTTATGATTGTCCTTGAATACTTCTTGAATGTCCTGGAAATGTGATTATTTTAAACATATATTTCGATGATCTATACGTTAATGCTGGTCATGATTAAACTAGACTACAAAAATGTTTTTGCTTGTTTCCGTCTTTCCAAAATACTCATACACCGTTATAGTAACTTCCATTGCCAGCATAGCTATTTCTCAACAGTCGGCGGCATGCCTATAGTACTGTAATACTTTACACACACGCGGCTCGCTCTTTGACATTACACAAAGGAGCGCGCGGTCGGTACCGGTTAATTTTTGGTGCGCTGAAAGGCATGCTAAATTTGGGCATGTACACCGGCAACTGATGTAATTTTTTCAGCGCAGACATTGTTGTGGCGGCTGATTGTATGGTCGCACCTATGTATGCGGTATGCCGCGAACTTGCTTTTTTCGGGATGAATTTATTAGCAAATTTTTCCACGTGTGAGAGACAAACATAATTTCCCTCCAACGTGGGAAAAAGACACCATTGCCTCCGAATTAGATTTAAGTAAAACTTAATATGCACTCAACCAAAAGTCTTTGCTGAGATGGAAATAACTAAATTGATTTAATACTAAATATGCATAAGAACATCTTGCTTTTAAAAATAAGTACAGCATACATGTTACATGATATAATCAATCGTAAAATCGGCGAATTGTTCTATTTTTATAGTAATAAGGGATATTATGAGTCCTTGAAATTTGGAAAATTTGACTTGGAATTGTCCTGGAAATTTGCTTGTATTAAAATGTATGAACCCTGTTATTATTATTATTATTATTATTATTATTGTTATTATTATTATTATTATAGTGAAGTAACCAATGTTGAAGACCAACAACTACAAATGTTCTTGTGGGATTGGGATGAGGAAGGTTCCTTGTGGAATGTCACGAAATCTCTTGATCGCAAACATAAATTAGCAGGCGTGCAAACGTAAGTTGACAGAAGTCTTTCATATTTTTGATCTAATCAGTTGCAATAAATTGCAGGAAAAGGCCTATAAAGCGTACATATCCACTGCAGTACTGCTTAAGGCACTTAAAAACTAAGGATCCAAAAATTACCTGAAAGCTACGAGAAAATAAACACCACACTGTACCATTTACAGGTAATCTGAGGGACAGGGAGCCTTGCAAGTTGCTTTTAAAAATCATTAAAATTTGTTGAAGATTTGATTGTATCACTTAAATCCATTAAAAAGATTGCAATTTTACATATACATAAAAATGTTGATTCAAAATACATGCAATATGTAAAATAATGGTAAAATTATAATGTAACCATGAATATAATATTCATTTGTTAGCAACTAAGTAAATAATGGTTTATTTGACGTCACAATTGCAAAATCAACATATTTTTGCACACTTTCAGAGGGGAGGGAGGGGTACCAGAAAAGAGTACTGTTTGTACAATTTTGATAATTGTTAACGACCCATTAATGAGAATGGTTTTCTTCAACAAATTTAAAATATGACTTTAAATATTGAGACACATTACCATTTAAACACTTAAATACAAGAGATGATTTTTTCAGATTGAATATACAACTAAGGCTTAACCACCCAAGTGACACATTTCTTTGAAGGTGGGAGTTCCGAGTAAATGATTATTTAAGGTTTTTGAAATTTACACAATTTATCAACATCATTGTCAAAATGCTTCGACTATTCAGACGGTATTCAAAATATAGTTGAACAAGTGAAAGTTAAAGTTGGTTTAAAGTGGATTGATAAAAGGTTCGAGACATTTAGGAACAGAAAGAGATACAAAAACTTTCTTGCAAATATTATTGATGTGATCTTGCCAAAATAACTTACCATCAATAACAACACCAAGACATTTGTATGTATTTACCCTATCTAATTCATTCATATTAATGTTAATTGTGAAGTCATGATTTTTTGTCAGCTGTTTGTGCCTAGAACTATGATTTAGTTTTTTTTTCAATGTTATTAATAATATTTATTCCTGAGTACTTGGATGAAGGTATTTTCTACTTCAAAATATAAAGCAATATAAAATTACAACAAATGGAACATAAAACCCAGGCCACGGCTTGAACATATTAAGCACATGCAGGAGCGAAACAGACACAAAATATTTAAATAATTATATTTGGCTTCAGATATATTATTTAGGTAAGTTTTTTACATAAGACATAAATTACATCAACAAAGAGACATCTAAAAATTCAACTAAAAATTTATATAATGTTTAATAGTAATTGCTCCAAAAGTGGTGAGATTTTTCCCAATTTACTAAGTGACATACACAATTTTTAATTGTGGTATGCTATATTCCTACGCAAGTCTACGTAAAAGGAATTTATTTAGTAAGAAATGTATCAACGTCCTTATTTTTTGGTAGATGAACTCTACGTACTTGGATGACAATTACATTAATTAATTCCCATGTATTTGGCTACATAATAGGAGTTGTACGTCATTGCTTTGGGATTCAATATTTCGACATTAATTATGTATTATACTATCTAACCAGAGTTCTTACTTGACTTCCTATAATGCTAATATATTCCTACCCACCAGTTCTGACAATATTACTGTGAAGCCCTTCATTCATTATATATTGGCTTATGTTCAGAATCTTTCGACACATGAAGCAGACCATGGAACATGGTAAAAGTATGGATGACTTTATGGGGCAGTTCTCAGTCTCCCTTTGCGAGATCTCGGCCTCTTCTCGCATTGATAAGTGGTACAAGATTAAAAAACAAAGTAAAACGTACGGCCAGTGTCGACTACAGATGCAATTTGTAATGAAATCGGTAAATATTCTTAATTTTTATTTGTATATATTTAATAACAAGCCTTGTCATTTGTATCTTATTTATTTACTTCTTTTTATTCTCAATTTGCGTACATTTATTTTAAGTTGTATTGTTTACCTCCTGTTTGATTAAGCATTTTGAAATCAAATTTCATGTGAGTCAGCTTGTGCACATTGAAAAATAAATCCATAATCTTGCATATCTTTTTCTATCTAGAATGCTTTATGGTAAGATGCCTGCCTTTCACTATCAGAACTCTGGGTTAAAATCCAAACTCTGTATATTTACATATCTAATGAATATATCTTTGTGGATTAATATGTTTTTACATATCCTGATTGAATTGCATTGAATACACAGAACATTTCCAAATACTTGCAAAATTGGAAGTGATTTTTGGACAACCTCCAGAGCCTATCATATGGGTTGTCCTGGTGCTGCAGAGCTGAATTCAATCCTCAAATACTGTAGCTGTTGGATACTGCAGCGGTATTAAAACAGAGAGCTGATGATGATGATGATGAGATGATGATTAATGTAATGATAATTATGATAATGGTTACTATGCTTTTGATGGTGTTACTGCTACTGCTTTTGATGATGACGATGATGACGACAAACTATTATTAAAAACACTGTGTATAATCTAAATCTCCAGTGACAAATATATGATTCTGATTTATTAACAGGGTGATGAAGACAATACTGTTAGTCATGTTGTTATGTATTATAAACTTTCAAAAGCAATCCACAAGTACGAAGGTGAACTAACAATGCAGGTATATAATAATAATGAAGACATTAACTACAGAAACACTTGTTCACCTCAATGGTGTTTATCAAAAAGGCCATAAACAGAAGTTAATTAATATTTTGAAATACAAGATTACAAGTACAAGTACAATTATTTTGAATATCAACATAACAAAAACTAATTTTAATGTTAGCTTCCCTCTGAGTTTTGAAGAAAATATCAACACAACAATTCGATGAGACTTGGGACCACTGCCTACACGTATTCTATGACTTAAATGTTAATCTGAGAGTAATGTTCAGTATTGTAAATAATAAGTTAATAGATATTAAATTTGGTTTACTTGTATAAAGATTCCAAGCTGCCACTTATGAATACACTGACACCATCAATGCAGTTGTGTGAAATGGCAGTGAGCTATGGTTCAATACTTCTCTAAATTTTATATATATTTATAGAAAAAATAATAGTTTACCTGTTTGATTTCAGGAAGGAAGCTGGGATGGTAAGCTGAGTGCGAAGAGTAAACTAGCTCTCGACCTGTACGCTGTTCAACGTGGACTTACTCAAATGGCAGCACTTAACATGTAAGTTAATTCAACTTACTTTCTAAACTGAAGCATGTATGTATGTATTGGTATGTGTAGCCACAGTTGACATTTAACAGAAAATATTTTATTTTATTTTAAAAAAAAATTTTAACCATATTTATGGAGGGTGACCCTTCTAGCGTATCCTAGAAGGTCGGCTGATATTCAGGGGCCACTTTATCATCGAAGTCTCTTTATGAGGCTAAAGGCCTGTTTATACTTACAATGATAATGATAACGATAAAAAGCAAAAAGCAATTTTTCATATAGAAAGTAAAAGAAATAAGAAAATATTATTACACTAGGATGATTCAATAACGACTTATTGTATATACAATAAAAAATAATTCACAAATCAATTCAAATGACGTCATAATCATTGAAAAACTATAAAATCATAGTAGTAACAACAATTTTATCATTTTTCCATGATTATAACGTCATTTGAATTGATTTCTCAAAATATTATGTATCGTATGCATGATAAATCATTATCGAATCATCCTATGGTAAAAAGTTTTCTTATTTCTTTTATTTTCTATATGAAAAATTGCTATTTAGATTTTTATCGTTAATGTTGCAAGTATAAACAGGCCTTTAAGGAGTGGAGTTGTTTTTAGTTGTGAGAAAGAATACTGCTGTCACAGGCATTCAACCCAGGACCCTGGGATTAAAAGGCAAACATCTTAACCACTAAGCTATCCAATTCCACTCGCAAATTGGTAGCATCTGAGACCTTTTAGAAAGTATGATGATGATATATAATATTATTATTATGTAGACATTTTTTCAAGTAAAATACAAATTATAAGTCAATCGTAAACTCCTAACGACTAAAGCTTTTTTTTTTCTCGGATGACTTGATTTTTCAAAATACAAAATTGCAGTGTAGCACCGTCAACACAATATAAACAAATACAATAGATAAATAATAATAACAGTGCTCGAATAGAAAAATAATATTATAAAGTAGAACGTTTTGGGCCATACTTGTAATGAAGTTTAGGTTATTCCAGACAATGGCTCCCTGATAGGAAAAACTTCTTTTCTTATATTCTGTGCTTGGTTTGGGTACCTCAAGTAAATCATTAGACCTGGTCATGTATGTTTCATTGCGCTCTTGAAATTTGTTTTTTAAATAGGTTGGTATTTGAGAATTCATTATTTTAAACATTGTTATAGCTTCAATTTGATAGATTTTGGTGTGTAGGTTGTTGTTAGTTTTTGGTCCAGCCTCGTTGATGCACTGGCTGAAAGGTTTAGGTAAATTGTTATGGTTACCTCTAGGCCTGTAGGAAAACCAAGGTATTCTTCAGTAGTAATATATTGTTGTAATTTTTGTTTTATTATGTTATAAATATTTTCTTTTTTTAATCCTTTTCATCTGGAATGTTTTTAAACTCATACAACCAAAGTATTATGTGCTATAGAAATATATATGCAGCAATGCACTTAATAAAAAATGAACTATACTAATAAAAGACATGTTTCAACGCATCACATATCAGGCAATGTAGCTTATGCTCTACCTGTTTATATACTATCGGTCAGACAAATACTATATCAATTACAATAACACATGTGTTCATTAATTTACAGAGATCTAGCAGCCCTTCTTGAATTTTTCGTGGAAATGAAAGCAGTGCATAGTTATCGGACAGAAACAGATCAAAACACTAAAGAGGGCCACACATTAGATGAAAAGGCTATCCAGGAAGCAACAATAGCCATCCACGCAGAAAAACTTGCTATGTCAAGCCTAGCCATATATGGGCTTGCGGGGAAGGGATCTGAAGAAGACATGTCCTCTCACCAGGGCATTGCAGCACCTGAGGTTAGAATCATCAAAACTTTAAGATTCTCTTTACATTTAAGAGTATGTCAGCAGGAGTTCTTTATTTTTGTTTGCTTGGGAACTGCAATTTTTTTAACAATTTTTCTCTTGGCATTTGTTTTTGAAAGACAACTATTTGTGTTGATGCCATTTCACTGTTTTTCAGTAACTTTGATTTCTATTTTTGTATCTGTTTTTTTATCTATTGCATGATATATTTTTAATTTTCATTATTATTTTCTTTGCTGCATGTAGCCCTCTGATATATTAGAAAGCTCTGCCAGTTTATATATCACAGAATGTTTGAAGAAACTTGATGAGTGCCCAGCATTTTTTCCCCCAACCCATGTTGAAATTCTTGATCAAGTTAATGAAATCTGCAGGTACATTTAAAAGAATTATTTTGCATTAAATTATTTTGTTTATAAATTGCGTATAAAACCAACCACTTTGGAAATCATTACATATATATTGAAAATTTATATATATATATATATACTGTCTCTTATACACATCTTCCAGAAATTTTAAAATATCAGAGCTTTCAGGAATTACCCCCAGTGGAAAATGATAGCTCTCTCTCTCCTCACAATACTCATACCCCCTACCCCATAACTCAGGCCTCCGGCACTTGGTTGACACTTCACATCAAAGGGTCTGTCGATTAATGTTGCACTGGGGCCCATTCTGACCTACCTACGCTGCTGAGAAGCTGGATTGCCTATGATATACAATAATATAAATGAATGGACTTTACTAAAAATAAATTGGAAGTCCAATTTTTTAGCACAACATCAAAGTACAATAAACATAAAAATCTATATATAAGTTATTGATTATATGACCTCTGTTCTTTTAGGTTGGATAGCATTCAGTCTCTCCTCAAAGTCAAGTTTGAAAATATTGGTTCTGGTATAATCAAGAAAGTTCAAGGTCGAATTGTGTCAGTCATCAAGGACCACACCAAACAATGGCTGCATGAAGTTTTACAGCAAGTGACTCTCCCAGATGGGGACATTGTAAGTGATCCTATTAAGCAATTATAGTCGGATTTTGAGTACACATAGGAAATAAAAGCTGAAGGAGTTATTATTTCCTGAAAAATTTGTTGAAGGAAATAATTGCTTCTATCGTAATGTACTGTAGTAAAATCATCCCAGTTTGGAGCTTTCTGCACACAAGACACATAAAATCAAAGGCACCATATCGATATAATGGTCAATGTGGAAAAGGAAAATTCAGTGCAAATAAAAGTGATGGTGTTACCAGTGACTTATAAATTATAATATTAATTTACCATCACAGTACCTCTCACCAACTAATGATCAATCACAACATGTGTGTGTTTTCGAAGCATGTTTATGCTTTTGTATTGTGGAACCTTAGGAAGAATATTCAATTAGTAAACAGTTCTATGATCTTCATAAAATTGATTATGATGTATTGTTGAAATATTATGTGTAACTTCCTGTTGATCAGCATTGTTTTTCTTTTTAGCGCCATCTTGTCATTACAATTACTTCTTTTACATTTTACATCACAGACCCGCAGGCTGCATGCAGCCCGACTGATTTTTGTTGTGGCCTGCAAAGTAAATTAAATAGTACCCTAATTAATTCAATGGGTTGGCTACAATTTTTATATTATTTGTACATTTTCTAATTAACTTTATTAATTTGAGGTTTAATTAAGTTATAATTTTATTATTATATTAATTTTACATTATTTTTAGGAATCTGAGGAATTATGTGACAAAATTCAGAAGCTGAATGAGGTGATTCGTCAGGTGACAGTCATTTGTCGCACTAATGATGCTTTCAAGAAGTTCTTCAACAAGTAATTTAAAGCGTTTTGTTATTTAGATAAAGGCTGTAGCTAATGTCCAATCTTTCATAATACTGATTGGATGTTATTGTGTGTATGGATTGAGTTAGGACAGTAACATCCAATGAGAATTGGGAATTTGTTTGTCTGCTGTAACAGTGAGTGAGTTAATAGAGTTGAATGGCTTGGTGGAAGATGCTTCCCATCTCAAGAAGGATTTTTTTTCTCGCATCCAAAACAACTCCACACTCCTAAGCCTCATAATGAGACTTGTTTATGTAGAGCATCCGAGAGAGCATCTTGTACGCCAGATATAAAAAAATCGTCCAAAAATGTTCTAAAACTTGGTGGTCGTCTTATATGTGGATTGCCATATATGCGAATACAATAAAACAATAGCAACTGTCTTAAATATGAAGTCAATTTTAAAGCCTTATTATACTGCTTCAACTTCCTATTGTTCTTGGAAGACTTTCATACATAATGATAATAAGAATAAAGTAAATCTTTATTTGTCCTCAAATGTAATACACACTGTGGAAATTTGAGCTGAGGACCCGCTGCAGCCACAGTGCATTGCCACCTCACTCAAACTACAATGTACAACAGACACTAGATTTGGTCCTTAACTCACCTAGCTCTCCTGAAAGGGTTATCCAAGGAGCGGACCATTTTTTTTTTATAAAAGACCAGAATTCAATACTCAGCTGCAGTCAAACTTTCATACATAATTCATTTAATCTGTTTTCTCTCTTGCAATACAAACAAATAATAAACAATAAAAGAATGATTTAAAATAAGAGTGATCTTACTAGTAATAGTTTTGGGTTTGATTGACACCCAGCAACATTTTTTTCAACCATTGTACCAACAGTAGAATTTATGCTTCTTGTTACGCTGCTTGTAGGTTGCAAGTGGACTACTTTGTTGTTGTGAGTGAGGAAGTTGATCAAAGTGTGTCCAAAGTGCTTCAAAATGTTCTCAGCAAGACCGATAGTTTTCTCCAGCGTCACAAAAAAGTACCAGAGAAAGTGAACGATGCAAGCATTGCAACATTGCAGCTCTATATGACAGTCAAACTCATCAGGTTTTTACTCAAACAGAATGTTCCTTCCAGGTATGCAAATTTTGGGTTTTAAGAAATAAGTTAAACAGGAAACAGGAATGGGGCATTAATCTACTGTATAGTAATAATATAGTGTTAAGAATATAGTGTTATAGTGTTAAGGAGAGAATTGATTTGATTAGATAAATGGGTAAAACTACATGATTTTACAAATAAATCAAATTTGTATTTGATATTACAGTACATTTAATTTTTTCAGCGATGAACTTGATATCATCAACTTCCATGATTGGTTCCAGAATTCTTTGATATTTTGGATGATGACCTTTCGCTACGAGACATTCAACCGTGTTCTGAAAGCATTAGAAATGGACAAGGATGTGAAGCTAGTCCATGCGGTTGTTAAGTACTCAAACTCAGCTGTAGATGTGCAGTCGTGTTTTGCAAAGGTAATAATCATTTACATAATCATTTATATTACTTGAGTGGAGTTGAATTGCTTGGTTAAGATGCTTGAACTGAACTGATATATTGTTTAGTGACTTTCCCAAAACAGTTATTTATGCTAATGAGTTAAAGGTAACGATAAGAGAGCCTGTTGCTATAACAATCTTCTGTTGCTTAGTGAGAATGGAAAATCTTGAAGGACATTGTTAGAGAGATTGATAAGTTTACCAGCTGTAACCTAGATTTACCATCACCACAAACTTGTGATCGCTACTATCTGATGCAAGTTATTCTACAAACAGGGGCAGTTAATACGTTTAAAACTAATTCTAACTCAACAAAGCCTTGGTGCTTGCATAAATATATAAAAAATAAATACTGTATTTGCATGCATGTATATTATGTAATACGAGCATGACTTTTGGTCGCGTGTTTGGTTAACTATTTGGTTATGTAGTTGTGTACAAAAAGGGCACAAAAACCAAAGTTTTATAGCTATGGTATGAATGTACCTCATAAGTGTTACTCATATTATGTTACTATTATATATGTTATAATTTTGTTATATAAAATTTTATCTTTTATTTTAAGGTTACTGAAGAATGGCAGAATATTAACTTTGGTTGCATTGATAGTCGATTGATGGCCATAACAAAGATAACCATAGTAAGTATAATTTAGTTAAAATTTTGATTGATTTTGATGATATCCCCTAAACATAACAAAATAATATTGTTTGTTTTGTAGCTTGTGTGTGATGGTGCCAAATTATATGCAGATAAGTTATATGGAATTCTAGCAGAAAATGGCTTTTATGAAGGAGGAAAGGACGGTAGCAATTTTGACATCAAAGACAAGGTAACCAAATAATGATTAATTAGTTTATTTACTTCTCGTGTAATTCTTAAAGATACGTGGGAGATAGCAGCAGGGCTGGAAAAAATTGTTTGTGCCTCCGACCATGAAGATTATCTTGATCAAATAACTCCATGACCAAATGTTATCTTTACACTATTATAGCGAAACATTAGTGCATTTTGTGTTTTGGAGCAAGCAAAAATGTTATATTTATGCATTAAATTGTGAAGTACAAAAAAAAAAAAAAGATTTTTTTTTTTTCTGAAATAGCTCAGGATAAAATGTCAAAGCTGCCGGTTGCACAGTCACCCACTTTTCCAGTCCTGGATAGCAGTACATACATGCTGTATGGACACTGAACATTTTATGGCCTCTTTACCGAAAAGAGAAGATGAAATATTAGATAGTTATTAATGTTACATATTATAGTAAATAGATAATATTTAATAAATAATATTTTATAAAATAATATAGTTCTGATTTAATACTAGATTATGAGTTATTATTTAATTATAATAATTTGTTTATTTTTTTGTTATTGCTGTTACATCAGAACCCCTTTTTTTAGGAAACCTGATAGACACACCTTTTTTAGGTCTGGAAGGTTTCAAGTGGCGGCACCAGTGGCTGGGTTCTTAAGCCCCCCTCCCATCGGACAGGCCTAGAGCTGCCACCGAAGGTGTCCCTTTAATAGGGGGTTCTACCGTATGTTATTTATTGTACATTTTTAATTTAAAGTATTTGTCAATAACATTTTATACCTTATTCCACCTTTTTATGTTGATAGCTTTGTATCACATTGAACAATATTGAACACGTAAGGGCATACCTGGACAACCTACCATCCCTGCTGAGTTGGGAGAGGAACGTAGAAGCACTTGCAAAGCATCATGGGAATGAAGATGCAGGAAAACGAACATACAATGCTTTACAACGTCTGACGAACAAGACAAGCGAGGCCATACTGATGAAGACAGCGCAGATGGAACAGCAGATTGCACAGAGAATGTGTGCTGAAGTCAGAAAAAGCATTAAACATCTTGTAAACGACCCAAGTAAACAAGACGAGGTAAGTAGTTTATTTAACCATAGAGAAAATAGAACATTTTCTCTATGATTTAACCAAGCTTCATTTATACAACTCAAAATATAATAATAAAAATAGCATCGTCAGCAGTGAATATTTATGTCTATTCTTGGCAAGATATTTGCTGTACCAGCCTGTAATATTGTAGAAAAATAAGCTCCAAAATTTAGATTACGCAAAAATAACCTTTATTCCTCCACCAAAGGAGGTTATGTATTCACTGCTGTCTGTCTGCTAGCAAAAATTAGATTATGCAAAACTAATGAATAGATCATCATAAACTTTAGTGTAATAGTACACAATATTCAAAGAAAGACCTGATTAAATTTTTGGAAGAAAAGTTCAAAGGGCAATTTTTTACCCGAGCATAAAAGAAATATAAAGCGGCAGTTTGGCGCAGCAGTTGAGGTTTGGGCTTTTAAATGTAAGGTCAAGGTTTCAAGTCTCCACTGTGCAGATTCGCTTGTGTCCTTGGATAAGGCATTTTAGCTACGTTGCTTCAGTCCACCCAGCTGTATCAATGGGTACCAGCAAACTGCTGGGGACTAAATTGCGACGGACTAGTGTCAGGGGGAGTACAACTCTCATCCACTTCACACTACAGAGACTGGGGATAAGCAGTGGCGTATCTAGAAGTCTTGAAACGGGGGTGCTGATGGGTGGGGGGGCACAAAAGTGAAGTGGTGGGGGCTCGATGATCGGTTGAGGGGAGCTAATTAGCATCATCGCAAAATATGGTGATTTTTAACTACTTGACTGTAAGTTTTGTGGGGGTGGGTGGCGACTGAGGGGCGCGAGTAATTTTTGGGGGACGCAAGTAATTTTGGGGGGGCCATGCACCCCCGCGCCCTCCCCTAGATACGCCACTGGGTATAAGCTCCAGCACCTATGAGCCCTAGTGGCTCGGAAAGAATTTTGTAATTTAGTATTAAAGAATATAATGGAATGACCCATCATACACGGCCTGCGTATTATTCGGTATTCTGGCACAGGGAGGGAAATAATGGAATTGCCCATCATACATGACTTGCATATTGTTTTCAAGCACATGGGGGGAGTTAATCACTTGATGGAGTGACTGCTCTAGTATTGACTTTGTTTTTGTCTGCAGAGTCTGGATGCAGTGCTTAAATATATAGATACCAACCTCCAGACTATGTACAACCAATTGATGCCACAGATCTTTCCACGTATCACAAAAGCGTTATGGATTGAGTTACTGGCACGTTTTGTTGCACTAATTAAAAATGGACAGGAGATATCCTACTATGAAAACCTTAAATCTGTAAGTGATTCATTGATGCTTAACGTGAGTAATTATTCTAAAGCTCTCTCCGGACTATCAAATTTTATTTCACAAAAACATATGACATGCCTAAATATTGTGACATCATGGCCATATATAGACACATCATGACTATATATGGACATGGAACAGTTTTTTGTCAACAGAAATTTGACAATCTGGATAGAGAATAATTCTCATTTTTTTTATGGAACATTCATCCATCAGTTTTATGAGGATATTGTGTCTTTGCACTACATTATTTGGAAAAGAATTTATAGGTAGATATATGGATAGAGAAGTAGATGAATGATTAAATAAAAATATTGCATGGTGTAACAGTGTTTATCTTCAAATTATTGGATAAATATGTGTTAATATGTATCTACTTTCCCATTATAGAATTTGGAGCAGCTAGAAAGTTACTTCCAGCATTCTGCTGTCATCCTCAAGGACTGGCAAATGCACAACCTAGACTATGCATATCTCTCTGGAGAGTTACAAATTAACTTACAGACCACTGAGCAGCTCTTACTCAAGTTCTTTGCAATACTTGGCAACGATATGGTTACGCAAAAGGATGATTGGGGGCATATTGAGGTGCAGGTGGGAATGCAAACCACAGACAACAATAAGGCTATTGTTCATGTCAAAGGTAGCAGCATATTAAAGATGTATTGTCCCATGCTAAATACCCAAAAAATCATTAAAATATTTTTAAAAATTAACTTTTATTTTTATTATAATTTTTTGGTTTAAAAATCAGGGTTTACATTTTTTAAATTCAATAATTTTTATGCACAAGTTGATAATTTGTATGCTATTGCAATATGAGCAAGTTTATTTCAAAATTATTTTTTATGATTTTTTGATATTAGCAAGGGACAATACATCCTTAACATTCTAATTAGGCTTAGAAAAATGCATAATGACTAAAACCAGGTACTCACTGCTTCTGATGGTCGTCTGCGACGCCATACTTTGGAGAACGCAACGCCACGACATGCGTACAACGGATACCTTAAGACTAATACCAGCAATCAGCAGAAGGTGTTGTGTCATCTATCACTAATATGGAGTAGAGTTAGATTCGTTGCACAACGGTTGTACGACTTTCTTATGATGCAGAAAGTGCCCAACTTAAGCTACCACAGCTGATTCAATATCTTATATTTGTATGGACAGGAAATTAAACTTCCCATTCAAGACAAAAAATGAAGTATTATATTTGGTGTTTTCCCATAATTTTCGCCCTAGGACATTTATCCCCTGGAATGTTTACCCATTATTTAAATAAAAAAGCAAGATTTTAATATTTTATCACTTTTTCAGTTTTGAATGCAACAAATTTACCAGGGATGGATGCTGATGGTGAGTTATATTTATTATTATTTTAAAAGTTTATATTTACTTGAATTGAATATAATATATAATCATGAATATTCAATAAGTGTATATGATGTATTAAAAAAAAAGTCATTTTTAAAACTGTTCATTACAGGAACGAGTGATCCATTTGTGTTGGTGGAGCTGTGTCCAGAAGTTACCTTCCATAAAAACAAGACACACAAAACAAGAACAATATCCAGCAACCTGAATCCAGTCTTCAATGAAGCATTTGAGTTGTAAGTACAGAAATGGTGCTGTGACTTGCTGGTTAAGATACTTTCCTTCTTATATCAAAGTCCCGGGTTCATATCCGGTGGCTCACGCCCACGGGCAACATGTGGCCCTACGGTGATTTTGTTGTGGCACACAAAAATAATTTAAAAACCCCATGTGTGTGGCCCGCCAACAATCTTTGTCTGAAAAAACCCTTGTTTATTTACACATGCCACTGATATCCGTCAAAAGTAATATTAAAACTGGATTAAAAATCCCTAAAGATCTGTCATTGTTCAACTTAATAATAATAATAATGGTCGACTTATAGACCGTGGAGACCTCTGCGCTTTACATAAACTTCTTCTTATATACACAATATATAGCTTCCTAATTATAGGACAGTTTAAATAATAATAATAATAATAATAATGGAAGTCTTATATAGCGCATAACACAATAAAATTGCCTCTATGTGCTTCACATGAACAGAAAAGAAAATAAGCATGAAATATCCTAGTGCTTCAAGAAAAACTAACAACGAAAACGGCAAAAAAGCAGAAGAATCATTTTTACTGCTTCGTTTTCCAGCAAAAAATTGTTTTTTAAGGAACTTCCTAAAAATTTCAACTGAAATAAACATATATGGATCACAGAATTTGAAACTTGCTAACTATTCTTTTTTTCACCTATATTTCTTTCAGTCATGTTTCTATGGATTCTCTGGCTCTGATGGGAGCTGTTCTGCAATTTACAGTCATGGACCATGATCTATTATGGTATGATGATTTCATCGGCGAGGTGTTCATTCCTCTTGACCAGGCCTTTGCTATGCAGGATGGTCAAACAATTGACCATTGTCCGACCAAAGTCCTGCCTATCAAGAGACCTCATGAAGAGGAGATGCCTGTATGTTATCAGGTATGCAACAGTCACTTAAACTAATACAATTATTACTATATCATTGCTAATGTTAATATTTATTTGTTATCGAAGGGGGTGATGTTTTGCCCTACCTGAAGTGTTATTGTACTGAATACTCAGTACGTTTCCAAGTACGTGCAAAACAAATTAGCAAGTGATTTGTGTGGGAATCGAACCCACAACCTCCATTTAACTAGCCTGGTGTCATAACCACTAGACAACTGAGCTTGCACTTGGTGACTAGTGTTGAATCCATCCCCAAGTAGCAGTGGGTAGTGCAAATGCTATCTATTATGATGTACAGTCCTGTATGTTTGCGTCATCAAAATATCATAGGAGTGATGTTTTGCCCTACCTGATGTGCTATCGTACTGAATACTCAAAACATTCCCAAGTACTTGCGAAAAAAATTTGCAAGTGATTCGGGTGGGAACCGAACCCACGACCTCCAGATAACTAGCCTGGTGTCATAAACATTAGTGTACCGAGCTTGCGCCTAGTAACTAGTGTTGAATCTAATCCCCAAGTAGTATTAGGTACTGCAAATGGAAAGAAAAGTATCATAGGTGTCATTTTTTTGTTATTACAGTATGTTGTTCATTATTGTTAATAAGTTAGTTAGAAATTGCTATAAAAAACTTTTGAGAATAAATTATTATATAGTTTGTCTGGGGTTTCTTTTAGGTTTTAAAAGCACGGAGCAAATGGGACAAAGATGCCAGAAACTTCACAACAAAAAGACAAGCAACTATGAAAATGAAGAAATCTAGAACAGACAAGCCGTTAAAACTAACACCAAACAATTCTCTAAAAACCAAGAAGAATGATCAATCTGAAACTACCATCACAACGGAAGTAAACGAGATTGCAGTGCCAACCATTGTAATTGACGAAGCCCAAATGAATGGCAATGACTGTTAATTAAGAAATGGGCTGAAAGAAAGGTTCATATTTTTAGCATTTCAAATGTAAAACAAATACTGGTCTTCCTGTGTTAAATACCCCTTCAATTAAAGACCACTTTTCCCAAATTAACAAATGTCTTTTACTTTTGTCTGTCTCTTATACACATCTAGATGTGTATAAGAGACAGGTTTTGTTGCACTAATTAAAAATGGACAGGAGATATCCTACTATGAAAACCTTAAATCTGTAAGTGATTCATTGATGCTTAACGTGAGTAATTATTCTAAAGCTCTCTCCGGACTATCAAATTTTATTTCACAAAAACATATGACATGCCTAAATATTGTGACATCATGGCCATATATAGACACATCATGACTATATATGGACATGGAACAGTTTTTTGTCAACAGAAATTTGACAATCTGGATAGAGAATAATTCTCATTTTTTTTATGGAACATTCATCCATCAGTTTTATGAGGATATTGTGTCTTTGCACTACATTATTTGGAAAAGAATTTATAGGTAGATATATGGATAGAGAAGTAGATGAATGATTAAATAAAAATATTGCATGGTGTAACAGTGTTTATCTTCAAATTATTGGATAAATATGTGTTAATATGTATCTACTTTCCCATTATAGAATTTGGAGCAGCTAGAAAGTTACTTCCAGCATTCTGCTGTCATCCTCAAGGACTGGCAAATGCACAACCTAGACTATGCCTGTCTCTTATACACATCTAGATGTGTATAAGAGACAGCGTCAGCAGTGAATATTTATGTACAGGTTCTTTGCCTATCAATCATGGAGTCCTTAGTCTAAATCCTCCAAAGACCTAGATTTTCTGATGACTAAAACCACCTCCACTACTAAGTCACAGAGGGCATCACATGCATTATTGGCAGGTCGCTTGTTACGTAATTAGGTTTATATAGTGTTTTACCTGTCTCTTATACACATCTAGATGTGTATAAGAGACAGTTATAGGACAGTTTAAATAATAATAATAATAATAGAAGTCTTATATAGCGCATAACACAATAAAATTGCCTCTATGTGCTTCACATGAACAGAAAAGAAAATAAGCATGAAATATCCTAGTGCTTCAAGAAAAACTAACAACGAAAACGGCAAAAAAGCAGAAGAATCATTTTTACTGCTTCGTTTTCCAGCAAAAAATTGTTTTTTAAGGAACTTCCTAAAAATTTCAACTGAAATAAACATATATGGATCACAGAATTTGAAACTTGCTAACTATTCTTTTTTTCACCTATATTTCTTTCAGTCATGTTTCTATGGAATCTCTGGCTCTGATGGGAGCTGTTCTGCAATTTACAGTCATGGACCATGATCTATTATGGTATGATGATTTCATCGGCGAGGTGTTCATTCCTCTTGACCAGGCATTTGCTATGCAGGATGGTCAAACAATTGACCATTGTCCGACCAAAGTCCTGCCTATCAAGAGACCTCATGAAGAGGAGATGCCTGTATGTTATCAGGTATGCAACAGTCACTAAAATTAATACAATTATTACTATATCATTGCTAATGTTAATATTTATTTGTTATCGAAGGGGGTAATGTTTTGCCCTACCTGAAGTGTTCTTGTACTGAATACTCAGTACGTTCCCAAGTACGTGCAAAACAAATTAGCAAGTGATTTGGGTGGGAATCGAACCCACAACCTCCATTTAACTAGCCTGGTGTCATAACCACTAGACAACTGAGCTTGCACTTGGTGACTAGTGTTGAATCCATCCCCAAGTAGCAGTGGGTAGTGCAAATGCTATCTATTTTGATGTACAGTCCTGTATGTTTGCATCAGGAAAATATCATAAGAGTGATGTTTTGCCCTACCTGATGTGCTATCGTACTGAATACTCAGAACATTCCCAAATATTTGCGAAAAAAATTTGCAAGTGATTCGGGTGGGAACCGAACCCATGAGCTCCAGATAACTAGCCTGGTGTCATAACCATTAGTGTACCGAGCTTGCACCTAGTAACTAGTGTTGAATCTAATCCCCAAGTAGCATCAGGTACTGCAAATGGAAAGAAAAGTATCATAGGTTTGATGTTGTTCATTATTGTTAATAAGTTAGTTAGAAATTGCTATAAAAAACTTTTGAGAATAAATTATTATATAGATTGTCTGGGGGTTTTTTTTAGGTTTTAAAAGCACGGAGCAAATGGGACAAAGATGCCAGAAACTTCACAACAAAAAGACAAGCAACTATGAAAATGAAGAAATCTAGAACAGACAAGCCGTTGAAACTAACACCAAACAATTCTCTAAAAACCAAGAAGAATGATCAACCTGAAACTACCATCACAACGGAAGTAAACGAGAATGCAGTGCCAACCATTGTAATTGACGAACCCCAAATGAATGGCAGTGACTGTTAATTAAGAAATGGGCTGAAAGAAAGGTTCATATTTTTAGCATTTCAAATGTAAAACAAATACTGGTCTTCCTGTGTTTAATACCCCTTCAATTAAAGACCACTTTTCCCAAATTAACAAATGTCTTTTACTTTTCTTGCTCTAATTAGAGACCAACTGCTAAAGACCATGGAAAGCCCAGTTTCAAAATTGAAGGGAGACCTGTATTTATATTTAAACATGTTTGTAAAGAACAGTGGTATATCTAGAAGTCTTGAAATGGGTGTACTGATGGGGGTGCGCAAAGGTGAAGTTGGGGGGTGGCTCGATGATCGGTTGAGGGGCGCTAATTCGTAAAATAAGGTGATTTTAGGTGATTTTTAACTGCTACTTTGGGGGGACGACTAGAGGGGCGCAAGTAATATTTGGAGGGGCGTGCGCACCCCCTAGATACGCCACTGGTAAAGACAGATCTAATCAAATATAGACATACAGTATTTTAATTCTTATACTTCAAGAAGGAGAGAACATCATTAGATTGACAGGTTCTTTGCCTATCAATCATGGAGTCCTTAGTCTAAATCCTCCAAAGACCTAGATTTTCTGATGACTAAAACCACCTCCACTACTAAGTCACAGAGGGCATCACATGCATTATTGGCAGGTCGCTTGTTACGTAATTAGGTTTATATAGTGTTTTACACCCAAAGTGTGGACTAGCTCGTTCAGTAACTTTCTTCACTGTCTACAACAGGGGCTCATCTCGAAAGATGTACTGGATTCTTTATAGTGCATAAGTCAATTGTGTTCACTGGACTTATGCACAGGTTTATTGATCTTATCCGAAAAGACTTGTTCTCCGCTGGAAAATATAGACAAGCGTGCTTCTCAAACCATGCTCAAATAAGCACTGATATGGCTGTAAGTTGCAGCGCCCCTGCCTTAGAGTGGTGGGTTCAGGAATTAGAAACTGATAGGTCCAGGAAGAGGCTTTTGAAAATGGAGGGTCCATATTTTTATATAACATATCTATATAGTAAATGATATACAAATTGGGTGTGCTGCTTAGCACCATAAACACAATGTATACAAATAGATAAATAAGGATGGCTGCATAAAATTGCCTGAATAGGAACATATGATGTAAATATTGTATCAAGCATAACCCTTTATCAAAAGATTGCTTTTTCATTTGTATGAAAAGTATCTGGTGGGAATCGAACTTGCACCATCTCTCCTTCAAGGCAAGTACCATATCACTAGGCCACTGAGATCTATAAAGTATAGATGCAGATCTAACCACCAGATGCATGCTCTCATACAACTGACACATATACATATTTATATGTATATAAAAACTAAAGGTTTTTACCCCATAAAGCAAATATATATAAAATATAAACAGATAATGGTAACAAAAAATTACTAGGTGTGTATATATATATATCTGTCTCTTATACACATCTAGATGTGTATAAGAGACATGGCTTTGTCAATGTGCATTTTGTTTTTTAATTTGATTTAATAAGTTTTATACAATTGTATTTATGTATCTCAGAGCCTTTTGTAAGAACACCCAGTGGATATAAGAGTCTTGTGAATAAATAAAGATTATTATTATTATAATGCTATGAACCTCTATTATTATTATTATTATTATTATAATGCTATGAACCTCTATGCGCTTTGCATTAAAAGCAAAAGCTGGAGCAGAAGTTAAAGAAGATGATTAAAAATGTGAGCGAAAATCTTTTGCAATCAAAACAAAAACCAGGTTAATTTTATGATTACAGTAATTTGTATGTATTTTTTTTTTTTTTTTTTTTTTTATAAAACTAATTTTTAACTATTGAAATGTCAATCAACTTGTTATCTCAATTACCTCCCAATTGCATTTTCTTTATTCTTTATCCATTTTATTTTAGATTTCTTATCAATTCAACCATTTCATTGTTTACATTTTGTTATGTGTGTGGCTTGTCATTTCTTTCCTTTCCTCCCAACAACCCTTGCCTGTATTTCCCAATCCCATGTTCCCTTTCCTTTCTTATGTTCCCTTAACTTTCCTTTCCTTTTCCATTCTAGTGTTTCCTTATCTTTTCTTTCATTTTCCTTTCTTATGTATCCTTATCTTTTCTTTCTATTTCCTTCTCATGTTTCCTTATCTTTTCTTTCATTTTTCTTTTTTATGTTTCCTTATCATTTCTTTCCTTTTTCTAACTTATGTTTCCTTATCTTTTCTTTCCTTTTCCTTTCTTAAATTTCCTTGTCTTACCTTTTCTTTTCCATTTCTATTCTACTAATCTTTTCATTCCTTTCTTCCTCATATTTTGTTTCTTTCCTTTTCTTTCCAATACTATGTTTCCAATGTTTCTTTCATATGGTGCACGATCTTTCTTGCCAAAACAGTGCGAAACACATTCGTTTTCTGTTAAACATAATGTTTAAATCTGTAAACAAGTAATACATCGCATAATTTAATTAATACTTTTAATTGCTCATTAGAAGGATCAAATATTCAATGCGACTGGATCAAAACAATTAAGTTTTCCCATAATTATATTTTCAATATTTTTCTATGATTTAACTAATAATGATTTAACTATTAATTATATGTAATACAGTAATAAAAATTAGTTTTTAATTGAAAGTTCATAACAATACCTTGATATCATATTCCAGCAAAGGGGGAAGCAAATTATAAAAAACCAATGCTGATTCAAAGTAGCTAAGCCCAGTGGTGTATCTAGACATCTTGAAATAGGGGTGCTGATGGAATGGGTGTGGGTGGGGGTGGGGTCGAAGGTGAAATGGGGAAGCTCAATGATCAGTTAAGGGGCACTAATTTGCAAAATAAGGTGATTTTAGGTGATTTTTAACTATTTTACCATGATTTTTTTTTCGGGGGGGGGGGGGCGAGGAATTTTTTGGGGGGGGGGGCGAGTAATTTTTTGAGGGGCGTCCCTCCTGCGCACCTCCCTAGATATGACACTGGCTAAAAAATTATCAACTTGAGTGTATTTACCTTGATTGATTATGAAATAAGTCACAAATGGAAGTGTTTTTAATGAGAAAATTATAGGTAGACATGTTTTTAAACATGATCAAAAATAGTATTTGTAATGAGTTTTCTTTTAGTGTAATAAATTCTTTATGAGTAAATATTTTATATATTTTTAAGCCAATATATATTAACAACTTTGCTCTCAATTCAGCCTTCTTGCTGCAAAGGTGTAATTTTATGTATAGGTTTATGATTTTTTTATGTGAATAAATAAATCAGTATTTTATAAAAAGTTGATGATCAATAGTTTATGTTCAAAAGTTCATTGCAATTTAATTTTTTAATGTTTTGGGGACACATCGTTAATAATTCTGTATCTGGTGCTGACAATAACATAGCACCTCCCTTACTAGCCATAAAAGCAAAACAGACGTAGACGTACCAGCCTAGATGCGCATTTCGGATTAAGTTTCATCGATTTGGTATCGATTAATCGGCACTCTGTCTAACACAAAACAGCGCCCTTTATGTCTGGAAAACAACACCACCCGCGCTCCGGAAATAATTTCTTTGATTGGTTGAAACGTCGATAGGCTAGGTAGGTGACGCTCTTTGGGTAGATACCGAAAAATAAGAGAAGAGAGACTGAAGCTTTGTTGTCAAACTGCTAATTACATGATTCTGCTAAAGATTTGAAGGAATTATCTCGGAAAGTAAGTTGTTAATGTGACATAGATACTTGACATAGATACTTTTGACTTAATTTTTAAAGTTATTATTTGAATCAACCATTTCTTAAGGATTATATTTCGTAACGTTATGATTGTTTGGCTAGGCCTAGCCTAGGCTTGATATGATTATGAGGAGGCCCTGCGGCCTGGCCTAGGCTAGGCTTAGGTAGGCCTCCTCTCTAGGTAGGGGGTCTCTAGGCCAAGCCTAGCTAGGCCTAGGTAGGCCTCTTCGTCTTCATCAGTGTTATGTGACGAAAAGTTCTTTAAAGAACCGTTACTACCAAGGGATTTGCAAGCGCTAATTCAGGCGTGCATAATAAAACGTCATGAAGCCTAGGGTGCCCTAGGCCTAGCCCTTAGCCTACTACTAGGCCCAAGGCCTATGGCTAGGATACAATTAAAGCTTAGGCTTGGTCTAGCCTAGGCCTAGCTAGTGACCTGGCTGTAGCGGTTAGATTTAGGCTGTGGTTGTTTCTGGTTTGATGCAGATGAATACATTGTAGCCCAACCTGTTTTTAACATACTAGGGCCTATAGCTTATTTGTTTGCAAAATAAGAGAATCTACATTTATATTTGAGAGAGATCTTCCCACCAACTTCAATCCAAAACAGAGTGGCCAGATTTACAGCTAGAGATCACAACTGTGATTCAAGTATCACCAAAATACTCAATGTCCTAGGTTGAGAAACCTTACAGGAAAGAAGTACCAAACAACGACTTGCCACACTCTACAAAGAAACTCACAATATCACACTAAATAATATTCAGGGACTCCGGAAGTCTTCGTTACAGAGCGAGACAAGACAGACCGACTGGCTTTCCTACCGGTGCATCGCTTCAAATAGAAACTGTTATCGCTACTCTCTATATCCGAAAACTATACCAGAATGGTATTGTTTGCCATATGACATTCGCACTGCACTAGATGTTAAGACATTCAAATTTCAATTGGACTCTGATATCAATATTCAAGAACTCTTGCAAACCGCCCACTTCCAATTTAACTGTTACACACCTGACCCCGACCTAAGTGCGACGACGACCTCAGAAGGTGTTTGCACGAGATCATAGAGATACAGATATTTACATTTTCATCTATCAATACCTATCCTTTCTAATGAACAATAATGACAAATATTGTATTGCAAGCCTAGTACAAAGTATTAATTTGGTTAGTTTTGTATTACTGATGTTTGTGCCACACAGTAGCCTTTTTTTCCCAACCTTGGGGTCCGCCAAGTCAAAAGGGTCGGCAGGTCCTCTAGACTTTTTCATGATTCCATTTTTTTTTTTTACAACAATGTGATAAACATTACTGCTATTCATTAGGAGGCATCAATACTGAAATAGATTTGATGTACTGTACTTTTGTGACAAATCATGATCTTCTATCTTATAATATTGGTGGAACACTGTAGACAATAAGTAAACCTAGACTTGGTACAGGTAGGAGTCTGTGAAGTCTTTTAACATGTCCTGAGGGATCCGTCCGCAAATTCAAAAGTTTGGGAACCACTGAATTAATCCATAATGTCGGATTAGATTCTTTTCAGAAATACTGTACATTACGTGGTACTGTATTTATGTTAATCTTGCTAGACTTTGTATGTGTTAACTTCATTTAGATAGAGGTACAAGAATACAACTATCAAAACTAGTACATGGCTAAACAATGGATTTTGATCATATTCAGTCACCATCATATTTACTATTAATACTAATTAATTTTGTCTTAAATAATGTAATAAAGAATAAAGAATTATAATTGGTTGAAATGATATACGGTAATTAGGCCTTAGCACTATGCTATTGTAGAATATATTGTGAGCTTTTCAACCTGGTCATTTTGACAAATGTAATTAGACATGTGATGGTTTTTTTAAATAATATTTTCTGCACTAAATTTAAACCAGGACAATCTCCCACCTGAGGAAAATTATAGACCTACCATATCTGCATAATTTCATTGGAAATTGTGAATTAACCTCATCTGTTATGTGTACAATTAATTGGGAACAACATAATATAATAACAGAAGAACTGAATAACTAAATCAATGTACGCTACAGTACATACAGTGAATAATGAAATTTTAAAAATGTTATTTTCTCCACCAAAATGCCATTCAGAAAAATTCCTACAGTACCTGGGCAAAAGTATATCATTGTTCTCTATCAGAGCCTTTATTGATGAAAAATATCAACTTAAGTTACCAAATACATCTGTTTGCTGGATTTGAATCGACTACAGTACTACTGTGTATCATTGCTCAGTACAAATTGATTATTAATGACCAAAACTTGAAACATTATTTTTTTGCGTTGACCTCAAATAAGGTTTGGCCTCATCAGTACAGTACATGTAGACATGGAAGAAATATATTAATATATTTCCTCCAGGATATAGCAAAGATGTTGTCCCATTTACTTATTGTCAGTTAATAGTTTTATTCAGCTATGCCTTCAGCCTGTAGTATATGTTAATTAAGTTTTCATGTGTTTATAGTGACAAGCTGTAACCAGGAAGATTTTAAATGGGATTTTTTTCAGCTGTAGTACAATTATCTTTCCTGGCAAATTGTAATGTATTTTCTTGGAATACCTAAATACTGTTTCGAGCAAGATGTTTCAAAATGTTTTGTATAAAATAAATCATTCTGTGTTTATTCTTGTTCTGATATTTAAATTAGATTTATTTAGGATTCAAACACATTGTAACATATTAGTCGGCAGTGAGGCATCATAGTAGTAGTCGTTTTAGGTCATACATATTGAATTACATGCATCTTAAAATTGATTGAGTGTAACAAAAGAGTATGTTTTACGTATACCAGTAGAATATTATAATTATTTTTTGTGCAGAGTAGGGGCTTGAAACCACAAGAATAGTTAAAAAGAAAACCTTTGGTTTTCTAGCATCTTTGATTGATGATTTTTTTTATCTTAACACAATTACACAATGAAATTTTTCATTTGTGTTGATACACAAATGAAAAATTTCATACAAATTATATTTGGATCCAAATGAATTTATTTCAAGACAATTACACTTCTGAACAAATCTGAAGCAACACACCGAATCCCCTCTTCCTTTGCTCGGTGCTTTGCACGTCTCATGGCCCCTACCCAGATTTTTCTCTGGATCCGCCCCTGATAGTTCAGTCTGCTAAGCTGGTGGTAGCAACTGTGTGATGTGCGCTGAACCATGGAGATCCTTTAAAATCTTTTGGTTCCCAGTTCAATGTACCATCACTACTTCTCAGGTTCATCAAGAGGCTTGATTTCTGGTCCTATATGCCATCACTAACCTTTCAACTGGAGGCTGTTGAAATTAAAAGTGGTAGTACCATATCGGAAGACATGATTAAGCCATTTTTCTCATGTGCATGTTACTGTTAAAGAATGCAGGCATACAGTGCACTCTTTGGATCTTTAGAGAAAATGAGCAGGTCATTGTCTGCTGGTGTACTGCCAAATTCTCTACCAGGAGGGACCCACTAATTTACTATACCTCATGAAGTTTCGCAGTCCAGTGCCATTATTTTATTATGAGTAAATTACATTGCTTAATGTGTTTTTACAGTGTTTTACTCATGTAATTCAGATTTGTGCTGCGAAATGAGTTTTTGGTAAAATTGAATTGAATTTTGTTTAACTGTATGTATTATGATTTTGGTCTACAGTAATTATGTAATGGATACAGTACAGTACAGTTTCTGTCTCTTATACACATCTAGATGTGTATAAGAGACAGGATAAACATTACTGCTGTAGACTGCTCTCTGTGCCCTGCATCCTTAGCTTCTTTACGTCTATATCCTCCTCTTATCATCTGTCTCATGAGTGAGTACCAACAAGTCTCCAATTTCTTTATTTCAATTTCCTTTGGGTAGCAGGCTTGTGTTGCGTATACTAATCTTGATCTCACACAACTCTCCATAATTTTCTTTCTCGATATTATTATTAAACTTTTGACAGACACGAAATAAATTTTGTGTCTGATAAGTCACAGCCACATTTTACAAAAATGGAACATCCTTATACATTGCCTTCCATCGGGTTCTGTTTTTAGCAATTTCTTTAAGTTTATAAAAATCAACAATGTTATCGAGATTCAGCCCTTTTTCTTTTATATCAGATTTAATTTTTGCAAATAAATTAACACAGTGTCTTCCTTTTCGGCCTTTCAGAACTACAGACTGAGTGACGGCAAATACAAGTGCACAATGTGCAGGAGTGAGTTCATCGCTCCGCAAAATGTGCCCAAGCATTGACCACCTACTTTTGTCAATACGATTTGTCAATGGGCCAGATTTTGTTACAGAGTATAGGGATTTATTTTTAATAATTTTTGGGTATTTAATATTTAGAATAACCCTCAAATGTCGACGATGACATTTGTCAACTTTCTCAAACATGCTTTTAGGGGCAGCCCAACTGCTACAGTTATAATGGATATATATATATATATATATATAGTGTAATGGATAACATAATAATTTAGATACATTTCAAATATAACCTCTATATTATATTTTTTAACTGTTTTAATTTCCCAAGTATATTATTCTTATTTTTCAACTTAAGATATGAAGTGCATGTTTATGCTAGTAGCCTGTACAGGTACTATACAGTATTTATTAAACATGACATTTGGCTGTTAATGTTTGTGCTACAGTAGCTGTACAGTATGATCCATTTAGTATGTGGCTTTCTGTGTTGATGTACAGTGTAAACAGTGTCATGGTTCTGTAATAAATTCCAGTGGATATTAAGTCTAGCTGAAAGCTATCAACCTGCATTACATTATACAGTAGTATGCTAACAATGACACAATTTACAATGAGTTCATTAATGATTTTGTCACAATAGGATACATAGATATAGAAACTTAATCTCCACTAATGAATAAAGACTAATACTGTACTAATGTTATTGTATGCTCAGCTGTTAAGTGTATGATAAATAATAAATATTATTGA